TTTTTTCCCCAAATATCAAGAAAAAAATAAAAATAGTAACCAGAAATTTTCAGGCAAAATTATAACAGCCACATTGAAAAAAAGACAAAAGAAATTACATTATGCCCCATGTTATATCTTATAACAAAAAAGAAAATTTCAAATATAAATGATTCTTATTTGATATTTAGAAGTTACATGACAATTTGTTAATGTAGAGGAAATGAGTAAAATATTCTATACTTAAATAGTGAGAAAAAAATATTTGATTGGTCGGAATATTATATAAAATTATTAAAACAGACATTTCCATCTGCCACCTTTCAAACAAAATGGTTGCAAAAATTTGAACTTTTATAAATTAGAACAGAAAATATTTTTATTTACACTATCTACATTTCGAATACTGTTCTCATGTCTGTCATCATTGTCCCAATGTTTCAACTGTTATACCCTCTGGCCTTTAACATATGTATATCAATCTGGGTTACAGAATTCTAAACTGAATCCTTTATTTAATATACAGAGGTAGACTGTTTTCATTTCCCAGCTCATGTCAACCCTATAAATTAAATAAAGTGTCTAGTTCAGGATTTCCTGTAGGTTACCCAGATGAAGGCAAGAGGACACAATATCTGAAATATTGTGATAACAATAAGAAAGATGAGGACAATAGTCCGAATGTAAATATGGTAAATGACAATAATTCCTCATTCCAAAAATTCAGAAACAATACTATTTGCAATTCCCTCCAGTTATTACTTTTATTTAAATAAATATCTAAATATCACTAGACATGAACAGTGAAACAAGAACAGTTCACTCTATATTAGGTGTTAAAATATATATAAACTAACAAGTTGTATTATTTTAAAAATAATCTCAAATAGCTGATACAAAAAGTCAAAAATTATTGTGTTTCTAGCAGGAGTTGTTGTGGATATCTTAATATATATAATATTTGAAAGCAAATATTTTATATCTGAAAATTACTTTCCACAAAAATTACTTGATATCTTAATTTTAAGTGGAAACAAATTCATACTCCACATATGTTGTACTTATTTCCCCACAAACTTGCATTCATCTGAATAGAGATGCAAAAGGAAAAAGTGAATAAAAAGATATAATATTTAATATTGCAATTTATTTATTTATTTATTTATTGGTGTATCTACATCTAATTATGTTATAAATAAATAGAAGTACTATTTCTAAAATCATTTATCACTAAAATAGCTTGAAAAAACAATTTGTTGTTAAAATTACAGGTTAATGCTGTAAGGATACACATGGCAGTTATCTCCCTTGATGGAGATAAGTCACATGTGTCATATGATGGCTGCTTAGTGACACACTCCATATAATGATTAAAGCAGCAGTCAATTTCAATTGTTTTACAGCTGCCAAAACATGTGGTTGTTTTTAGTTTTTTTGCCTGGGCCAAGGGCCTGGGCTGAGACTAAATCTGCCTCCTCCAGTAAATGTTACAGCTTATAAGCACATGTCTCTGTTTCACTTTGGGGATATATCATCCCCAGATATAGAAAGAAGCTCCGGCTCACAGTCCTCAATTTGGGAAAACCCAAGACTTGCCATTTCTAGTTCATGGAATATGTCCTCACTTGGGATATAGTAGATGAATGTGGCCTGATGGAATCTGGAGTCCTAAGCATGGCTTCTCCAGAAACACTGAGAATCTCTATCTTTTCCTTTCTTTACACTCTGAATTTCTATGTAGATATATGCCATATTTTCTCTGGATGGAACATGTGTAAATATATATATATATAGTTTTGTGTATGTCTTAGTGATATAAAAGTTTTTTCTGAGAACAAAGTATATTTGTCATTCCTTTTCCTTTCAGCCATTTTGTTCAGTCCGTAAAATATGGTGTTATTATATCATGGATATAATAGTGCCCATAATGGGGGAAATGTAAATGAGAGAATAAATCTTTCTTCCATAGCTCTCCTGTTCTAATGCTATATATATATATATATATATATATATATATATATATATATATATATATTTATAAAGAAACTTTTCAGTGTTATAATATAAAACTAATGGTAACAGTATGCATTGGTCTGTCATCAGCATGCAACACAATAATAATAATTATAATAATAATGACAAAAAGCTAGAGATTAACTACCTTTAGATGACAATGAAAAGTGACAAATGATTTACATCAGTTCTCAGGCCTTGTTAACTTTCAATATTGTCACCAGTAGGGTTAAAAAATAGTCTTTGAATTTTTTAGTAATAATACCAGAAATATTATCATGAACTTTGAGAATACTGTACCTATTTAATAGAATTTTAAAAATTTTGACCTAACAGACATAGAAGTTTTACATTTTATTAGGATTTGGTTAAAATAAGAAATAAAAAAATATTCACAAATGTCAAGTGTTTTAAAAAAAATATGAACAAACCTTAACAATTTTATATTTATTTATAACTTTTTTCGGAAGTAATTAAAACTATTTTATCATATATGAAAAAGGAAATTTCTATTCTGCATTTTTGTACCTCAAAGTCAAGCATTCTTAAAACCTTTCTACAGTCATCATTAATTTTTGTCACATCCATCAATGTCCAGTTTTCAATATGGCTGAGCTCAATAAGCCCTTGAATCTTACGAGAGAATTTATATAACAAATCTTAAGAATAAGATTCGAGTTGCTAATCAGGAAAATACTCTTTGCATTTTGAAGTTATAAATACACTACATTTGTAATCTATTATAATGATATATAGCTGTCTGCAAGTATACACCTGCTGAGACACTTTTGTGTCTTTTCAACACCCACAGATCTCAGCTGTAGCAGATTTATGCTGAGTAGAACTTGATTACAGTTTCTGGGAGAGAGTGCATAATATGGAATGATAAACACTATGCTTAAAGCCTTGGTCATGATGACTTGTGACTTCATGCTAGCACAAACATCAACAAACAATTCCATCTGCTCAAATTCACTTACAAGGGTTAACTTTGTTGTAATTTGCAAGCAGTTTCCAAAGGTGCTACACACTGGGAGAAAATTTTAAAAATATTCTTTATTAACTAATTTTCTGTACTTTCAGCTTTCATAAGCCATTTTCAAAGCATTTTGTGTACTGTGTTATATCAGTTTCATCATTTTTCAAATATCATGTTTTCACGCATATGTTAATTTTTCAAATATATCACATCTTCACTAAACAGTTCATGCCATCATGATTTATATATATGGTAGACTCTCTCATCGCAGATGACAAATTAGTGCTCAGTAAAATAAAGTGTTAAACTTCTACGGATATTATACATGTGTCTTTCTGCAGGTGTTTTGCAAAATTTTAGACAGCTGGAACATGTGGTTGAGCCATTTCACTCAAGTGGTTGAAGATTAATTGCCACATGTTTCCTGCGAGTGGACAGCAAGGCCTATTTTACTGCGTGCGACAAAGCCACAGTGGCAGTTAAGGCTATTGTTGAGAGGAGCAGCATGCTACCAACTTTCTTTAATATGCTTTTAACCCATAAATATAGCATACTTAGTTGATATATATGATTAAATATAGCTTGAAGGTATGCTATATTTATGAGGTAAAAGTACCTATGCAATACTCAAGATAGAGCATGCAAAAATATTAGTGTCGACTTTGAGATCAACACTAAATGGCAAGAATCTACTTCATGTATATGCATGTCCCAAGATCTTCGCTGTTGCACACAGTTTGACACAAACATAAAAACTGAATGAGGTTGTTGGATCCTCATATGTCGAAATTGACAGGAGATTACATCATATATATATATATATATATATATATATACACCCAGTTCAAAATTTGGAAGCCACCCCCAGTCTTATAGTCATTGGAAAAAGAATGGACTCAATTAATCAAACTTATACTTTGAGAATCTTTTACAATGAATGTCAAAAATTTATTCTGCAGTAATCAAGGCTAAAGGAGGTTATTTTGACAAGAGCAAAATTTTATCATAAAATGAGTTTTTTGTTTTTGTCATAAGAAAATTTTTAATAAAAATACCACGTTTCACTTTTTTTTAACCATGTATAACAATTTTCTATTATTCAAATTACAAGACTACTTTTTAGACTAATTTAAAATATTACCAGTGCAGGCCTCAAAACCTTTTGACCTTTAGTGTATATATATATATATATATATATATATATATATATGTATCATTGTCAATATCTGAGCAGTAAATCTTTAAGAATTAGTAAAGAATTGTGATTTATTTGTTAATCATATTTTTTTTAAATCTCATTTAAATTTAAAACGAAAATAATTCTGAATGCTTTATGTTACAATTTTTCTTTATCCAAATAAAAATGTCTCTATTTTCATTCATATTTTTTCCAATTCATCATTTTGTTTCTTATTCATTGTTTCAAAGACCTTGTAACCATGATTGAAAGAACAGTGCCTGGGAACTAATATTATCGTCTAACTAAAAGATATGGAATGAAACTAATTTTTGTTTGCTTTTTCACATTGTCTTGTGGTCAAACAATGAACATGCCAGGTATGTAAACGAAGCAGTTTGATAATCGCAACACTAAATATAGTTAGTATGAATCATCACTGATACAACACTATCTATGAGTGCTACACAACTAACAACTAAAATCTACCCACACTACTAGATAAAAAGCAGTTAACAAACTTCACAGATAACAGAGAAGTGTTTTTTTTTTTATTTTGAGCATATGAAAAATAGATGAAAATCTAAACGCAATGATAAGCTACTAAAAAGTAGCTGGCATTGCCTGTTCCCAGGAGCTCAACATCACTCACAAAGGGAAGAAGTTGATCATTAACAAAAAAAATAAAATGTCATGATTGTTGTTGGCAATGGTAAGCTAAATGTGTATTTTCAAATATTTAACTCTTCTTAAAGATATTAAAGTGAGTAATCTTCAATCTTAAAAAATATTTAAATCAAGAAAATTTAACTTCTGTTGTATTATACAATTGTAGAACACAAACCCACTTACCTTCAGCCAAGCATGTTCAATAGCTTCATGGACAGTCAACCTCTTCCTAAAAGGAGAGAGAAAAATTGAAATTAGTACAAAATGGCAAATAATTCCTTTTTTACTCAGTAAAAGTTGTTTTTAAACATATGCAGAAATTATTAGAAGTAGGCACTTATCTGCTTAAGACATTTCTCCGCCCTTCTTAAAGCTGAGAAAGGACAGCAGGTTGATACCACATCTGTTTCTAAGATGGTAAGTATTACTAAGATCTAACTTCTAAACTATCAGCTATTGAGCTGAAATGGACTGATACCAAGATCTGCCTTATAAGCAAAATGTCGCTACACTGAATATCAAAGGACTGTTATATAGCCTGACTTGCTTTTACCATTTTACGATACAGGTTCAAATCCTGTCGGAGGACGAATATTTTCTATGAAAATGTCTCGGACATTCAGGCTGGTAAATGTTATTTAATACTGTTTATTATAAACAGAGCATCTACTTAAATATTTGTATCTATAAAAAGAATATTAAACATAAAAATGTCTTAAAATATATATATATGTGTGTATGTGAGTGTGTGTGTGTGTATGTGCGTGTGTGTGTGAGTGTGTGTGTGTGACATTCAGATGATTACAAATATTTATAAGTTTTACAAAGAATGTATAGGAATTTAATATTAATTACATAATTAAATAGCATATAAATTAATATAGAATTCAGTCTACTTATATAAGAGGAATAAACAAAAACAGCATAAGAGAAATAAATATATATACATACGAGGGATTTCTGAGAAGCAATTTCTTAATGAAGTCTTTAGCCTCTTGTGAGACACTCTTGAAAGCATCCTCGTCAAAATCCCAGTCGCATCTTTTCACATTCTGAAGAGTTTCCAGGTCATCTTCTCCAGCAAATGGTGATAAACCACTCAATCTGCCGATAAAACATATTAATTAGAAATACAAAGAAATGTTAAAAATGAAATGGCTTCAAATCAAGGGTTAACTGTTATCTTTCCCTTCAAAAACAGCAACAAAAACCCTCTACCTTGAGTGACACTTGGGCCTTGCAAAAGGTGAACATTAGCTATAAAAAAAACCATTACCATATAAAATGTTTTATGTTTATTTCATTTCTTGCGTCCATATTCTCTGTATTGTTTTGTTACTCCATTCCATCTTATTAAGATGTTAGTCTATCACAGACATGTTAATGGTAAGATAAAATTAGTTACAACAAATATTTGACATTCATGGGCTGAACATTTAGTGCTACCATTGATTGAAATTTATAAAATCTTTTTCTTGTAACAGCTTTTCCCTAAGGCAGTTCATCACTGATTTCAGCCTCATTCTGGCAGCTCCTGTGACTGGTGCTAAACTGTAATGGCTTTGCTGTTCCTTTGGATCCATCCATCCATCAGTGATGGGGAGAGTGGGGAAATGCTGCATGGACAACATCTTATCTTCCAGCCCATCCTACCTACGCTTGATCCTATGTTACAGATGAGTGGGATCAAATCATTGATGACTGACAGAAGCCTATCTGGTAACAGCTTTTCAGGAAGTTAGACTTCTCAGGTCCACTAACTCTTATAGCTCTTTCTGCCACCAATGGGAATTTCCTTCTTAACCTTTTGCTTTTGGTAGTGTGGAAAGCCAACCTCTTGATTATATCCTTTAATAATTTCTCCATTGCCTTAACCGGGTATTGAACTCACACACTTTGGGTCCTTGAGGACACATGGCACAGTGGATAAAGGCATTGGTTAGATTCAGTGACAGGACCCAAAGAGTGCGAGTTCAATACCCGGTTAAGGCAGTGGAGAACTTTCAGAGGGAAATTAACAGGAGATAACTGATAACTGACATCCATTAAAAACATGGCATGTGGAACTAGAACAGTCTACCCCAGTGAGTGAAATAAAGGGTTCAGTTCGACATTCCAACCACCTGAGGAAGGCCGGAGCGTACAACGGCCGAAACGTTGTGATAAATGTGGCAAGAAAGATGAGGACAATAGTCCGAATAATGTAAATAGTGTCATTTATAAACATTTTTTGTGATGTCAATTGACACTTTTGTAATGTCAATGAATACTTATCACTTTTATAATGCTCACTCTAGTAGAGACTTTGTAATTACCTGTTACGAGGATGCATTTCTATAATAAGGGATAGCGGCATATCAACTCCTTATGGGTCATTTAATGCCGACATTTAATTTTCTTCAGAGTATTAATAACTACTTTTACAAAAATGTATTTCTGTTATTTTTACTATAAAAATCAATATTTATACTTTCATGGTGCTTGGAGGTTAACTATTTGCCCATAGCTGGAACCCTAACAGGTGTTGCCATCCTGGGTCAGGGTGGACCTGGGAACAACAGCAATTAAGAGGTGGTCCCACACTTCTCAAAAGCTCTTGATTAGATGCCTTTCCTGTTGGACGTAGTTTATAAACACTGTAATTTTTTAGGAAATTAACCTAGCAATAACTTGAAAGGATCTTATTTCAACTTGTGAGGTATTGAATTTCTTCAGTATGTGAAATGTTATATTCAAGATAGTCATGGGCCATAGATACTGATATTATGTAGCTTGAAATACCCAAATGCAATGAAAAGAAAACCACTTTATCAAGTAGTTATGAGAACTTTATCTTCAAAAATCACATTCTGAAATTGTGTATCTGTTTACATAACTGAAGATCATGATAGTGAAAGTTCTTTTAATATTATTATTACCATTTGTGCAAGATTTTGTAGTTTTAGTTGATAGGGTTTCATGAAGAATTGTCTTCTAGCTTTTTATCAGGAGATTTCTTTGGGATGTGGTGCAATATATTTAAATGTTCAAGAATATTTCTTCATATCTGTATTTATAAATGTGCAAAGTATAGTCTGAGATTAAACCAATTGAGGCTTATTTCCTACATACAGTCACACACATATTTCGATAGTTGTTAGTTTTCTGAGGCATCTAAGAAATTGTTTATTGCAATATCGGATTTACATAATTCAATTGCAACTCCATGCTCTCTTTTCTTCTCTTGGTCATTTTGCTTCAAGATAATTGACTTTTTTTTCAGTCAATTTTTCAGCCATACTAATGTCTGTATTAGCTACCAAGTCACATCACATTGGAACACTGGTTGAAACATGGCCATATCACATTGAAACACCAGTTCACATATGATCACTAAAGTTAAGCCAGGTCAATATCTAGATGGGTGTTCGCTTGGTGCAGCAAGCTTAGATGTGCAGGTGTTATAAAGGGTTTACGACTCGGAATTGGAAATCAGAGAGACAATTTTGAATTCCAATCGGGTTCATTATATTCACTTAAACACAAAAACCCTTGAGAAATGCATGAATCCACCTCCTCTTCCCCAACTATGGGTTAATTAGTAGAACTCATAGCACTAAATCATTATTATTCCCCCACACCAAATCTTACAATCTAAAAATACTTTCTGGCTTTAAATAACCTGTAAATTTTGATAAACCATAAAAAAACAATCAAACAAAGGATAGGAAGCAGTGGAGAGCTATGATCGCCCACGTCCTAAAAGGACATAGCACATAAAAGACTACCTAGAGATTAAAGAAGAAAGTTATTTTCTTTCTTTTTCTAAGTGTTTTTTGTATAACTCTTTGAAACCAATTTTATTTTATTCAAAATGTTGTGTCATGCATGTAATTTGAGATAAGTATTCTAATTTCTTTTTTTAATACTGTTGAATGAAAAATAAGATTAGATATTAAAACATATAATGATATTAAAATAATATTAAAAGAAAATAATAATATTAAAATACTGTTGAATGAAAAATAACATTAGATACTAAAAAATAATGTCACTCACAAGACATAGGCAAGCACACCAACGGCCCACATATCTGTGTAGAAACCAACAGCCTCACGGTCAACAATTTCTGGGGCTGCAAACTCAGCAGTTGCTGTGGTAACCTTTACAATTTCATCTGGGTTCAATCTGGTTGCTAAACCAAAGTCAATGATCTTCACTTGCGTGCTCTTTTTGGTTTCACACATGATGTTCTCAGGCTGCAAAAGGTACAAGTAGCAGAATTAGTACCTGTAAATGAGCTGGAATTTGTCAAAAGAAGTTTAATTAAAAGACAAAGCTGTAATATATTAAACTTCCAGGCACTCAGAGCAAAATTTTCACACTGGTTTACACCAAATATCCCTTCTATTTATTCATACCATCAAAAAATAATGGCCATACCTAACTGTAATTGCATTGGGATTCTTGCCAAAATACAAAGAAGGGTCTGTGATATAATCGATCCTGATTTGGCATCTCGACTTCACTCATTTTCTCTGACATGACTTTCTGACATGGCTTCTCTCTGTCTTTACTACTGCATGAATTTAAGTGTACTACTAGATTGGCAGTTAGGTCTCACCATTTTACTGTTGAACTAGTTAGATACAACTGCCACTTATATTCTAAGAGTTTCTTTTTTTACACTTCTCAGCCATGGAACTGCCTTCTGATTTCTTGCTTCCCTGATAACTGCAATCTCCAAAAATTTAAATACAACATCAATCATCATCTTCCATCTTCTTGAACCTTGTTCTTTTTTTTTATTTTTATTTTTTTACTTTCCTTGCTCCTCTCCACTAAAGTCTCCTCATTCTTTCACTCCATGTAACCCCTTCATTCTAATGGCCAGGGCTGGTACATACTACTCTGAATTCCCAAGTGGGAGGAGGGCTTTCATTCAAGACTGGGGACCCCAGGCAGTGCTTCATGATTCTCATTATTTGCTTCTTTCTACCTACATTTATATATGTTACAGATTAAACCAGGTACAACTGACTATTAAAGGATGAAAAATTGTCACAGATTTTGACGTCATTCTGGGGACATTTTTTTTCATCCAAATCTATGAAGTTTTGCTCATGCAATGTTTCAAAAAACCACTATATAATTTTGACTATTTTTTATCCATAACATTGGGTGTGTTAAAATTCTTCAACTTTTAACAAGAAAAATCTCAAGTTGACATTCAAAATTGCAGCAAAACATTGTTGATTTATTTAAGATATTTAGATAGATTGTATTTATTTTTAATTTTTTTAATTGAATTGTTCATCTATATTGCATTGCATATGATCCATTATTGTACATAATTAGGTTACAATAAAGTTTGTATTTTATATGAATAGTACTTCATGAAAAGTGAAGGCTCTGTATCATAGATTTGGGAGGCACAAGAACCTTGTACTATCCCTACTAGTGGCAATATTGCCTTGCTTGGGGTTATATGATTAAAAAAAAAGAAATGGCTATATTTTTTACATGAGTAAGCAAGAATTTCTATCAATACAATTAACTCAACTTTTGCATACATGAAATAATTGCACTTTTTAAATCATTAAAATAAAAATGCCCAAAGAAAGTTAACACAACCCATACTGTAAAAAATTATAGTAATATTTATGTATAACCTTTAATTTTTGTATGTATGAAAGAATTTTGATTTTTAAATCAATAAAAGCATAAATGACCAAATAAAACTAACATAACTTATACCATAAAAAATGGAAGTAATAATTTAGTAATTCTGCAAATGTATTGGACAAAGTTTCTTCAAGAGTAATCCAGGATTTTTAACTACACAATTAACCCCATTGTCACATGTCAGAATAAGAATCTACATTCAGAGAAAGCTAACAAAGCCACACACCCTTAGACTGATCAAGTCCAGAGGTAAATAAACAATAAATTTACATATGAGACATTTAGACTTGTTTTCTTATTGGTTTAAACATTCACATTGGTTTTAGTTCCTATTAAATGAAGCATTGTCAACCATTATTAGTATTTTTGGACTAGTATTAACTTTCATCTTTATTTTGATTTTATTTGGATGACATGAAGTATTGTCAACCATTATTATTCATTTTTGACAACTCTTTGTACCTTCATTTTGATTTGATTTTGTATTAAATGAAACAATGTCAGCCATGATTATTTTTTAACTGGTATTTACTTCCATTTTGGTTTGATTTTTATAAACTCACATTTATATATTATTAATGATTGATAGTTTAGTTAGTTTCATCTTCATTCTTCATTTTTTATTAGTTGACATATTTTTGGGTATTATTATTAATTTTTGACTAGTGTTTACTTTCATCTTCATTTTTTACTTGATGAAGCATTGTCAGCCATTATTATTGATTAGTGTCTTGCATTTATTTTCATCTTCATTTTTTACCAGATGAAGCATTGTCAACCATTATTATTAATTTTTGATTTGTATTTACTTTCATCTTCATTTTTTATTAGATGAAGCATTGTCAGCCATTATTATTAATTTTTGACTAGTGTTTACTTTCATCTTCATTTTTTACTTGATGAAGCCTTGTCAGCCATTATTATTAATTAGTGACTTGCATTTACTTTCATCTTCATTTTTTACCAGATGAAGCATTATCAGCCATTATTAATTTTTGACAAGAATTTACTTTCTTTTAGTCACTTTTTATTTAAACTTTAGTCTCAAAGAAGGATTCATGTCCAGAGAAAACTAACAGAGCCATACACGCTTCCATTGATATTAATTGAAAAAGTGAGGAGATGAATAAACAAAAATTTATGTATTAGTGTTGGTCTTCTGTTCTTATTAGTACTTAAAATGACAAATAACCCTCACCTTGATGTCCAAATGCACAATACTGTTCTCATGCATGTGTTTAAGTCCTTCGCACACTTGCCGCATATAGTTAATTACTTCAGCCTCAGACATCTTGTAATCCTCAGCAGCAATTCTATCGAAAAGCTCTCCTCCTGAAAGGCTGTTAAAACAAAGAACATTACATTAGGTGTTAGGAAAATAAACAATAATAATTACAAAAGACAGAGTTGTAACCCAGTGTTCACAAGTATCTAGATGTGACTAACAAATCACTTGGTTGCCTCATCCATTAAACATATATATATATATATATATATATATATATATATATAGATAGATAGATAGATAGATAGATAGATAAACAAACATGAGGAATATACTGAGATTGATAGGTAGATAGATGTACAGAATAGATAGATAGATAGATAGATAGATAGATAGATAGATAGATAGACAGACAAACAGGCAAACAACATACTGACATAGATAGATAGATAGATAGATAGATAGATAGATAGATAGACAGACAAACAGGCAAACAACATACTGACATAGATAGATAGATAGATAGATAGATAGATAGATAGATAGATAGATAGATAGACAGACAAACAGGCAAACAACATACTGACATAGATAGATAGATAGATAGATAGATAGATAGATAGATAGAAGAGAGACAAACAGATAAATAACATACTAAGATAGATAGATATTAAGAGAGTGTGATAGGTAGACAGACAGACAGATAAAGAACATACTGAGAGAGATAGAGACATAAGAGAGACAGATAAAGAACATACAGAGATAGATCAATAGATAGATAAGAGAGTGTAATAGATAGATAGATAGATAGATAGATAGATATATGAGAGACAAACAGGTAAGGAACATACTGAGATAAACAGATATGAATAGATAGATAGATAGATAGATAGATAGATAGATAGATAGATAGATAGATAGATAGACAGACAGAGAACGAACATGCTGAAATAGATAAATAGAGACATAAGATAGATAAATAACATACAGAGATAGATAGATAGATAGATAGATAGATACTCAGCCATAATGCTCCTCAAATAATATGAATGATGCATTGAAAGTCAATTTAATGTACAATGATGTTTTTCTTTTTGCAAAATATTGTTAATGTTCTGTTTACTTGCTATAATCATGTAAGATATTTTCACTATAATTATTTCTGGCTTCATGTATGGCTAGCTTGCTTTTTATATACAGTAATACTTTTTACTAATGCTAAAGTGCTTTTACAGTATCATGTAATATACTGATAGCTTGCTTTAAATAAGACATCCTTGTGAATTTCCTATAAATATTTTTGTGGAAATTGCTCTGATGAACTTTCCTCTATGGTACCTAGATTTCATGAATTTAAGTGCAATACTAGATTGGCAGCAATATCTCATCATTTTACAGCTGAAATAGCTAAATATAACCGTTACTTTTATGCTGATAATTTCTTCTCTCACAGTGTTCACTTGCGGAACTTTCTTCCATCTTCTTGCTTTCCAATTAACTTTGATCTTCAAAAAATTAAATGCAATGTCAGCCGTTGTCTTCTGTCTTCTTAATTCCTGTTCTTTTATTATTCTCTCTCCTTAATAATTCTTTCACACTGAGAAAACCTCTTGTGTCTTAGTAGCACTATTGCCTTGCTTCAGATCAAATGATTAATAAAAATGGAATAGGAATGTTTCTGATTTAAGGTTCCCTCTTCTATAACCATACCGTTTTGTCAGTATGAATGTTTACCATATCAAACTGACACTTGACCACCCTTGAATTTGTGTCCAACTGTCTTCAGCTTAAGTAATGTTTATGAAAAGCTTGATGAAGAATTCTGAGGGGTTTTGATGGCAGAACTGCAGAGCTTTATGCAAAATTTGATGCAAGGATGTTGCTCAAATTGTTCAGCTATTGTAAAGATCACAGAGCCATTCCAATACAGCCTTGCATAATAAATGAATACAAGTAGATAGTATGAAGCCTATTGGCAGACTGACTTAGTAGTCTGAGCATCATTGTGGAACAGCAAAATTGCAACATATATAGACCAAAAACTGTTCATTACTACCTGTGTGTGTGTATATATATATATATACAGGTAAAATTCTATAACATGTTCTAATATCCTAAAATAAATAAGTATGTGTGTGTGAGTATGCAGATGTGTGAATGTGTGTGTACACATATACATATTTCTATAATTCCCAGCAGTGCTGTGGTGACTGTAGATAAAATGCCAGGTTAAGGATGATAACATTGCAGATTCTTCTTTGAAATTTATCAAGAATTTGTAAATGCATCACAGAAGCATGAGACCAAATGTGGCAGCAATATTTGATGCATGGTTGAATGGGAGACTTATAAAGGTGTAAGATAGATTCAGGTCAGTAAAAAAAATGTTAGCCCATTAAGGTACGATAAGGCCCTTTCTGTATAGCGTATAAACCATTTCCCTTGATTCTGTACTTTGATTTCATTAAACAATATTAAGCCCTGGTTTATATGGCACAGAAATTAGATTAATGGATAAAGTAGGATTTATAAAACTGAAAATGAGAAGTCTTCAGAAATCATATAATGTACATTTTGCATGTCTGCATCGGTGCAGGATAATTAGTAAAAAAACATCTCTCAGATTACTACAGTGTAGTGAATTCCAGACACAGAGATCCGTAGACATATTGGGAATGCCAAGGATGCATTCACAAAGCTGGGCAGTATATTGCAAGACAAGAGGAATTCTTTGGTAACAAAGAAAAGAAAAGCTCATTATGTGACATCTGTCCTTCTTTACCTCAGCGAATGTTGGACGAGTTCCTCAAAGATGAAGAAGCAACTCGAGGCGATGGAAATGTGGTTTACAGAAGGATGCTAAGGATATCCTGGACCAAGTGTGTGAGCAATGATGACGTCTTAGAGAGGATGCAAACAAGGAGGAGGCTTATACTTAACATCAGGAAGAGGCAGCTGAAGTTTCTGGGACATATAATGAGGAAGGAGGGCCTGGAGAATCTGATACTCATGAGTCGAATAGAGGGAAAGAGAGACAAGGAAAAACAACACGTGACATACCTGGTGGGCTTAACTATATAATATACATTTTGCTCGGCTGCCTCAGTGAAGGATCGGTCAGTTATGTGCCATGCATGATACATGCTTAGGTGATCAAAAGATACATGACTGACGAGGCAGATTTTTTCCCGCAGTAGGTTGCCATTTCTTTCTGTAGAAGACAGTTGCCATCCAAAGCTATAGAACCCGGTCTGTTCTGCTATTTACCCATAGCTGGGGGAGAAGAATGTGGATTCATATCTTTCCCAAGAGTATTAGCATGTAAGTGAATGTAATGGATCTGACTGGAATTCGATTTCTAAATCTGAGCCAATATCTGTTACTTCATGTGCCTCCTCTCTTTATATAATCAGCTTAATATATAAATGAAATATTCTACGTAAACTCCTACTGTCTTGAACTACACAAGTACCATTTTAGGATTACTAATGGTGTAGACGTGGGCTTGCCTCTGGGTCCTACTTTATCTAATTTCTACTTGAATAATTTAATAATTTCAACTAACCCTCAATATATGCCAGATATATTGATGACCTTTTCATATTAACAAAAAACAGAGGTGAATTATAGGTTTTGAATTCAGAGTTGTCCTTCTAGACAAGTTGCCATCCATAGCTGGCGGGAGAAGAAGAGGAGTAATACCTTTTCCAAGGATATTAGCACATAAGTAAATGTAATGGATTCGATTGGAATTTGAACTCGGCTCTCCAATTCCTCAATCTGAGCCGCTATCCATTATTCCACAATGTAGGATAATTAGTATTAATCTTTCCAGCAGAAAAATGTTAGCCCAAAAAGAAACCTGACATGCACAAGTGATATGAGACAGTAGCTATTGTTCTTGTGAAATATTACTTATTGAGGAGAAAGAAAGAAAAAGAAAAGAATAATGAAAAGAAATTGTATCTACTTACAACTCAAAGATGAGAACCATTTCATATTTATCATCGAAAGCGTCGTGTAAGTTCATGAGCTGTGGGTGATGCAGCTGATTCATCACATTAATTTCATTCCTGACAGTCACCTTATCTAAAGGATAAGGTGTGTTGATGAACTTGGCCACAAACACACGCCCAGTGGATTTCTCAATGCAACGATGGACCACACCAAATGCTCCACTGTGAAGAAAGAAAGATATATATATACATTATAATCAGAGTATGGTTGCAAAAAAAAGAACAAACAAGGATTAAAATTTCAACAGCATCCATTGATCAATTTTCAGAATATATACATTATGCTCTAATGCCAGGGTTAAACGTTATCTTCCGCACATATCTGTACAAACTGTGTCTCTTACTCTGTATACCTCTACATTGAGTAGCTCTTGGGCTCTTGCTCTGGTATAAGCATGAAATAATAATAATAATAATAATAAATATCATAAAATAAAATAAACCAAATAACATTGAAAATTTGTTTAAAATAAAATAAATAAAACCAAAATAATAAAAGCTCCCCCAGCATGCAACAGAAAACTTTCCTGTCTGAAAACGGATTCTTCACACCAAAAAGCATTGAACTCACTCTCTTCACTACAGAACATCAAAGGGTCAAGACGTCCAGTTTCTCTCCATGACACCTTTCTTGTCATAAGGCAAAGTAACTTTCATCCTCTATTACATACTGTAATAGTATACCTACAGATGATAATGGGTATGTCCCCATTCACAAAAATACAGTAGTGAATGCTGTATGTTGGTCTGCATTTGGAAATTCATCTCCAGCTGTGCTGGTCAAACTCTCTGCCCAGAGGCAGAGAGAATCCCCAGATGATGCTTTGTCAAAGGGCAGAGTCTTGTCTCAGGAAACAGCTACCTGACCACGTTTTATACAGGGTTTACAGGAAATTTTGGGCCGAGCCTATAGATACCCCACATTAAACTTGTGCCACATCTGACAGCATGGGGTGGTTGGTAGATATCCTGCAGCTGGAGATTCATTGTGGAATTCACTTGACTACTTCTTCTACATGCTGGTGGCGAATCTTATATGTGTTATTCTTGTCCTAAGTATTATCATTCATTACCAACCTTTGTTTGATTATTCTATTCAGTAACCTTCCATAGTTTACAACACAAGCAAACTTAAAACACATATAACTAAAATATACACACACCAGGACACAGTATTAAATAAATTGTATGATTTTAATTTACAATTTAACATTCTTTTAGTCTTATTTCTTTGTATGTTTTTATTCCTGTGAACATGAGGCTATCACTGCTGATATGATATGAGTGATGCCACAATATTAAAAAAATGTCTGAACTGATTTTTTAATAATTATTTGATAACTTTATTCAATCCACAAAATAAGAAATATCATACCTTCCTAACTCTTCAAGAATATCGTAGTAATCATAAACGCTGCCCATCTTGATTTCGACAGGTTGAGGTACATATTTCTTCCAAATATTCTCATCTGAAATGTTTAAAACGTGATGATGATGCAGACAGACAATAAAAGAAATTAAAGAGAAAGAATAAAATTAAAAACTTATTTTTCCTTTGAACATTGAAAAGAATTAAACAGGAAATTTAAAGGAAAATTTCTTAACAAATTTCTCAATGTTCAGATCAAAAATTAATGTCAAACTAGATTTTATCCTGCACAGAAATTGGATCACAATCATGAGACCCAAAATCCATTCCAACCATCAGGCCACGAACTGTGGATTGCTTGCTACCAGGCCGCAAAGAAATAATTAACTTGTTTAAAATTATATAATAGATAAATTGAATATTAAATTTTAATTTCAAAAGATTTGTTTAAAGATTCAATATTCATCTACTCAATACTATTTTTCATAACTGTAAGTACATTTTATAATTAATGTACATTTTACGTCTACCTTTACTATCTATTATAAACATGAGGAACATACAGAGATTGATAGATAGATGTACAGAATAAGATAGATAGATAGATAGATAGATAGATAGATAGATAGATAGAAAAGTACATTTTACAATTCATGTATATTTTTATTTATATGTAATAATTTTCAACTGATTCTTCTAATCCCAACTAATTTTCAGATTCTACACTGATTCTTCATTACGGTGACTTGATATGGATGTGATAATAGTATAATAAGGATTGATTCAGAGAAACTAAGCACACAAGGGTGTGGTCAGGCTGGAGGCTGGACATGAGGGTGAAAGTCAGACATGAGTCTCAAAAAATTATACACTTTTTCTTCCCTTCATAAATTGCTCATTTTATTATTACTCTCTTTATCGAAATGCACTTAAATTTCACATATGTGCCACGACGGGTCCACAGAAAGATGAAGCCAGTCCATGGTTTAAAAAAGGTTGGATACCACTGCATTAGGGTTATAGGGACACCATATGTACTGCAACCATAGTAGAAGTGGTATGTCTTGAGTAAGATAACCTGACGAAGACCAACCCTCTCCAGACTGGTTCAAATTCAGAGTTTTTCTTCTCCTACAATGATTGCCAACTAAGGTTATAGTACCCAGTCTTTCCTGCTATTTACCCATATCTGGGTAGAGATGACATGCATCCATATCTTTCCTGAGGGTATCTGTGTATATTTAAATCCAATTTATTTTCACCATCATTTTATTAGAAAAAGAATTATAAAATGTTATTATTAATTTTTACTTAAATTTATTTTTGTAATATAGCAACAACTCTAAGTTTATGTGTGTAAATTGCTCTTAAGTAGTTTTCTACACGATTATTTATCATCTCTCGGTTGCATCTCTGTCATTAGGTAGGGTGCACTCACAGGCAGCTTCATTAGAGGACAGAGTCTCAACTGAGGAAAATTATACTGAGAGGTGTGCAGCCCTGGGGAACAGCTGCACAAGGCTGTGCCCTCTCATTGCACCAGAGAGAGGGATTGGTGCTCACACCGAGGCCAGTGCAACCAATGGTTGAGTGGGCTCAGGCAAATTTTGATCCTAGCCTGAGTGTATGCACTTGGGCTCCCCACATTAAACCGACCTTGTGTCTCAACCTGACCTTGTGGTGGGGGGGGAACTAAATTCAAAAAAATAGAAGCTTCTGAAGCTTTAATGCTGAAAACGTTTATTTTATTATCATGGATGGTTACAAGCACCAGGGGAGATGGGATGTGCTTATTTTTTATCACAATTTTCTTTTTTTAAAACATTTTTCTTTCTTTTTTTAAAACTTCTTTTTTATTAGATGAAGCATTGTCAACCATTATTATTCATTTTTAACTTGTGTTTACTTTCACCTTCATTTTTTTACATGAAGTCAATGAGTGTGTTTAAGTTATGTTTGTTTATTTGTTGTTGTTTATTTGTTGTTGTTTATTTGTTGTTGTTTATTTGTTGCTCTTGTTATTTTGTAAAACCTTTTGTAATTTTGTAGTGCCAATCTATAGTCTGTGATGAAGGATTATTTTCTTTATGATTTATATTGACCTGTCAAAAGTCCAATCATGCAACCTGTAACCCATCAGGGCCGTAGGGGTATCATATAGCAGCAGTGGTATGTCTTGAGTAAGATAACCTGATGGAGCCCAACCCTCTCCAGACTGGTTTAAATTCAGAGTTTTCTTTGCTTTAGACTGGTTACCAACCAAGGCTTTACAGCCCAGTGTGGTAGAAGAGATGGATTCATACCTTAACCAAGGCTATTTGCACATAAGTGAATGTAAAGAACTTGATCGAGGAAAAAGAAAAAAAAGAAGCTGTTTTATACTCACAAAATTTATCATAGTCATTGATCTTGGGTCCAGTGTAACTGCCTCTGATCTTTCTTCCAAATTCATCTGCAAAATAAAAAAAATAAAGCTCGTTAAAAAGATACAACAGAACAAAGAAAATGTCTCAAGAGACTTCTATGATTTTCAAAATAAAATGACATGACTAAACAATATTTTCTATATAAATCACCGATGTTAAAAGTCGGATTTATTTTTAAAGTTGCTCATAAAAATTAATATCTATCATAAAATTACATTTTTTTTTAGATCTGTTGCCCTTCTCCACACGTTCAAATGTTATTTTTAGTGGATACCCATCATAGCTCAGCAAAGTTCTATTTACCTTTTTAAGGAATGCACATTCTTTAAAAGGGTAAATACAACCTTTCTGAGCTTCATGAACAAGCAGATAGGAAGATGGTTTCTCCTACAAAGGAGGATACAGGGATGAACACTGCAAGAAGATGCATTTTCTTTATTAAGTTTGCTCAAGTGCCCAGCCCAGTAGATGTAATAAATGATGTTTAAAAATCTACTCAATTACAGGTATCCACTAAAAAAATAATGTTTGAAGTAACAAAAATCTCAGATTAGAAATAAAATTCATTAAGACTTTAGACATCCTGCTCTAACCAATTTTCTGTTGCTTAGATTTTTGTTGTGTCGGAAACCTACCACCCCTCTTGAAGATGAACTTGTATGCATCTGTGAACAAAGACTTTAAATAGTAGCATGTCAGTTGACATGAAAAAGACAGATAGACAGAGAGGGTAAGACCTCCAAGTCTAGCTGAGTTGTGATACATTCTTTGACTGTAAGCGACGTCTGTCGAACTGTCTGCTTTGGCAGAGAGGAACCCGGACAAAGCTTTGCTGAAGGGCAAGGTTTCGTCCGGGGAGGTAAACAGGGCCTGAACCCGTCAAGGCAGGTTCAAAAAGGCTATATTTTTGGCTGAGCCTACGGGCTCGGAGATACCCACATTAAACCGGCCTTGTGCCACATTCAATCCTCGTGGGTGGATCGATAAATACTAAGACAGATAGACAGAGAAGTTCTTAGCTGAGCTAGTTATTGACTACTCAGGCGATTTCTGTACCTTTTTACCAACCTATTAAAACCCTTTTTATTGTTACGTGTTATTTGGTGTTTGTCTCTACTAACGCCACATCAACATCATAACAATTTTAAATAAACAATTTACTTGGGTGGTGTTCTCATACTTATTTTCTGAAATGAGAACAATAGACCTTTTTATACATGTAAGATATATACAAAACATTTTAATGTCATTGTTTAAAAAAAAATATATGAAGGTAGACAAAATTTTCTGAATTATTTTGAAGATTGCTCTTAAGTAGTTTGTAACATGATTTTAGACAAGATGAGAAATTTAATCTTCTGCTTAGATCTCAGTTTTTTTAAAAAGTTGAGAGGGTGCTGTAGGCTCACTCCCATCCCTATAGTACTGTAGATGGCCTACATCATGAAGGACCAAGGTAATTAAAATAACCCAGAAAACATGATTATTTAAAGTGATAGCAGAACAAGGACTTGGATGGATAGTAAAGAGACAAGCATTAGTTAGAGATAATAAAATAAGAAAGTTGTGGAGGACCATGAACACATAAAAGAAGATGTATATATTACAGGAATTAACATGTGTAAGCAGCTCACAAATTTAACATCGATTTGAGTTGAGTTGAAAATGGAAATTGAATGAAAAAAAAAATGGAAAAATTCTATGTAATGCATTTCATTTCATTGAAACGGTTTTTTTCTTCTTGAGTCTGAAGGAATCCTTCAAAAATACAAAATGCATATTATGGCAGTTTTTTTTTTTTTTAAGAATATTACCCCAAGCAAGGCAGAAGTTCCTCTAGCATGAAAGGCGTTACAGAGAGTGAGAGTAAGAGTAAAGAGCAGTGTTTGGGAAAAGAATAAAGAGAAAGACAGGGTTAAAGGTCAAGGCATCCGAAGATGTCGATTATCATAAAAAATGATAAAATTTAGAAATAAACTGAATCTTGGAAAGTGTTAATGTTCATTGTCAAACACAAAAATTTAAATCCATTGTCAATTATCATCTTCTGCTTTTTTGTAAACTGTTCTTTTATTGTCTTCTGTTTCATTTACTCTCTTAGCGGTTTTGTGGAAAAAATGAAATAAAATTGATAAATGAAATAATAAAGATGAATAATAAAAAAAGAAATACATTTTCCCATGATGCTAAGAATAAAGGAACCGGAAATATGATTACCCCACTTGTTTTCATCAAAAACTATTGGTCAGGATTGGTTAGGTCTATAAAAGAACAAACATTTTAATTCCTGATAATTTTTCTCCATCTTGCTAGAAACCCAAGTTTTTGTATGCTTTTTTGTTTATCATATGTGAGCACGCACACCTAAAATACACACGAACACGCAACCTTTTAAGTTCCATACATCCATTGCCTTGCTCGGAGCGAAATGGTTGAGATAAAAATGTTCATTTTACCTTCAAGCTGTTTCTTCTTCTTGACATCATCGGGAATGTCTGTATGAATAGTTTCAGTGCCTTCACAGGGATCACTACGTCCATAAAAGTTTTCTGCACATACTCTAAATTCATAGTCTTTGTCAACTGAAAGACCAGTGATGTTGTGAAAGCACATCCTGGAAAGAAAAAGGTTCACATTTATTGACCCCATACTTATTCGATATAGAGGGTAAACTATGCAAATTCAAATCAAGTTTCATTCTCTGCCAAAATTACTACACATTAGTACAAGAAATGGGAAGACTATATATAAACATTCACATGTAAAAACCTCATAATAGCAAAGCCTAAATACAATATTCAATCATTTTCTGGCAGATTTGGTCGTAGGCATCAGTTTATTTTGAGATAAAGGTGCCAGGGTGCAGAACTTGGCAATGGTATATGCCAAAGGTGGGCAAACTGTGGCTATTTGACATTTAATATGTGACTTGTGGAAATATGTTGGCTGAGCTCTATTTTTCCTCACAGTTAATATATAAGGTAAATAAGAAAAATTTCATGTTTTATAATTATTTACTGAGTATGAATTCAGAGTCGATTGGATTAAAACGTAAGTTTAGTGTTAATGTATATTTAACAAATACATATGTGTAAATTTTGTTTATGTCTTGCAGCTCTCAAACATCTGAACTTTATCTTATATGGTTCTTACATTAAGCAAGTTTGGCCACTCCTAGTATATGAAGACCGTGTACTGCCCAGACTACAAGGTAACCCTTTTGGTTGTATCCATAAGATTGAAAAGAATACAGGGTATTACATTTGCGGCCAGCTTGGCTGCAAGTGTTGCCAGAAAGTTGATAGCCAATTGACTTTGAGGCCTTACCCTGGTTTTCTGTCAGCTTGGGTAAACACATTAATATAAAACTAGCAGTTGTCATGAAAATTCCACATTTTCCTATTTTAATTCACTGATGAATTACAATTCTTAAGTGGATAAGCTAATAAATAAATAAGCCCTTTTCGAGTTCGACAACAAAATACTTTTAGAAATCCCCTTATTGCATGGTTCCATATTTGAGCTTAACAGTCCACAATTTTCAAAGAAGAATGTTTTTTGCCATGACATTTGGGCTTTACTTGCTTTTTTTTAACCATTGATCTTAGAAAACAGTTGTATACAACAGATAGTTTAGATATTTCTGAACAGGTTTGATGCCATGTATGACGTCCATATGAAAGTCTCGATCTGATGATGCTATTTAAGAACATGACTAGAGTTTTCAGATTGAATGTTTTGGTTTTGTAGCAACTTGGGGCATTGGGAGAAACTATCTCTGGCCAAGCCTTTTCTAATGCAGGTCATTATTTAAAGAAGTTAGCCTGTACAAATGAAAAGATTACAAATTGACAAGGTTTTGTATTTCAATGAAGCAGATGTTAAATGCATGAGAGCATTATCACCTCCTATATCTTTCTATTATTTCTTTCTTTATATTATGTATGCTTTCTGTTATGAAGTGGTTTCACAGTGGAGGCTTGTATTTGTACTAAGTCAGTCCTAAAATAGGTTCGACGTACAAAACGTTTGGAACTTCATATAATAGGTATGACACAGTGAAAATCTAGTTGTGGTCGCTGATACTTTAGTATCCAACTAATGGTCGTTTGGCATTGACTCACTGACCAACCCACTGAGCGACTCCTTACTCTTACTACTCCTACTTATTATAGGTGGGAGAGTCCATTAACTATAGAATAGGTGTGTTCCACTGTAACACTTTCTTTTTCTCACTAAAACCAAACAGCATTTCTGTTATATCTTTTTCTTCCATTTTTCTTCACAACCAAAAGAGAATGGTGTATTATTTATCTGAAGTAACAAAAGAACAAGCAAAATTATAATAAGATTCTATACTGGATATAAAGTGTGGGGTCGTTTTTATATTATTAATTCGTATTAAATTGAACAATGCATAATTAATACAAATTAATATGATAATATAAAAAATATATCTAAATATTTACATATGTAAATTTACTAATAATATTATAAAATAATAATGATGACAAAGGTCAGAATGTGTTAACTTCGGCAAAGGTCAAAACACTGTGATAATCTCAATGAAGGCCAAAATATTGTGATAATCTTGACAAAGGCCAAAACATTGTGATAATCTTGACAAAGGCCAAAACATTGTGATAATCATGACAAAAGGCCAAATTGTTATAATCTCGATGAAGGCCAAAATGTGATAATCTCAATGAAGGCCAAAACATTGTGATAATCTTCACAAAGGCTATGACATCATGATAATTTTGATGGAGGCCAAGTCATTGTGATAATCCTGACAAAAGATCAAAATATTGTGATAATCTCAACAAAGGCCAAAATGTGATTATCTTGATGAGGCCAAAATGTGATAATCTCAACAAAGGCCAAAATATTGTAATAATCTTCACAAAGGCCAAAACATTGTGATAATCTCGACAAAGGCCAAAACATTGTGATAATCTCAACGAAGGCCAAAATGTGATAATCTTAGTGAGGCCAAAACGTGATAATCTCAACAAAGGCCAAAATATTGTAATAATCTTCACAAAGGCCAAAATGTTGTGATAATCTCAACAAAGGCCAAAACATTTTGATAATCTTGACAAAGGCCAAAACATTGTGATAATCATGACAAAAAGCCTAAACATTGTGATAAACTTAAAAAAAAGCCAAAAACTTGTTAATCACAACAAAAGCCAAAAGGTTCTAATGATAACAACAAAGATAAGGATAATAGTTTGCAATTAAATTATCTAAACAATACCAGAAAACTACAAAAAAAGATTATGATTTGAATTTTCTGTTTTTTAACAATGTGAAAATATTTTAAAAGCAGAAAAAATAAATTGTTCTAAATACCTTGTTGTAGCACATCTGACCCAATTCTGCTGAGGTGGTTCAAGCTTTTCAATGATGTAATCAGTGATAAAACTACCACCATCATTAAGAGGAGGCTTCCAAGATAACACAACAGAATCATCTCTAATATTCTCACACACAGGGAAACGTGGAGGATCAGGACGATCTGAAAGGAAAGGATACATTTCTTAATATAAATCCAAAGAAAAGTCTGTAATATTTTCAGTCCTGACCTGGCATCTCGACTTCTGTTACTTTCCAACTGCCATGATGTAGCTTCACTATCATTTCTAGAAATATTTTCATGGCACTTGTTTTAATGAGTTCCCTTCCTTGCTACTTCAGCCACGCGAATTTAAGCATAATACTAGATTGGCTGTTAGGTCTCATCGTTTTATTGTTGAAATAGCTAGATATAACCATGAGTACTATTCTAATAGTTTCTTTTCTTGGACTTCTCGCCTGTTGAACTCTTTCAATTTCTTGCTTCCCTGTCACCTAGAATCTTCACAAATTTAAATGCAATGTCAATCGCCATTTTCTGTCTTCCTGGATCCTGTTCTTTTATTATCATTTCTCACTATCTTCTCATTATATTCCACTCCCATTAACCCTTGTGTCTTAGTGGCTTTATCACTTGATTTGGAGTGAAATGATTTAAATAAAAAATCAAATTCTATTCCAGGATCGCAGAATAGAGATTGGTTTAAATTTAAAGAGGGTGTTGATAAGATCATATTGGCAGCTGATCTTGAAAATGACCTACTTTCTGTTGTTAAGTGGGGCAAGGAATGATTTGTTGATTTTAATGTCTTTGAAACAAAACTGCTCTCTATTAATCATCTGAGAGGAATGTTGTTTCTCTGTGTCGTGCTAGAGAATTTTTCTCGCCAAAATCTATCTTACATATCTACAAGTCTACCCTTCATCCACGCTTAGATTACTGCTGCCACATATGGCTTGGTGCTCCTGATATATATTTAGAGATCCTTCATAAAATCCAAATAAGAATTTGCAATATTATTGGTCCAGACCTGGCATCTCAACTTCAGTCAGTTTCCCACCAGATGAGATCTTTTCTCTTCTTTCGGAAGAAGCTCTTATTGAACTCTTTGCCTTTGGGCAGAGTGGAACCCATGTGAAGTTATGCCTGTGGGAAGAGTTTCATCTGGGGAGATAGATAAACCTGACCTCATGTATGCAGGGCCTACAGGGAATTATCCTGAGTCTACAGGCTTGGATTGCCTTGCAGAAAAATTGGCCTTGTGCTACATCCTGCTTCATGGGGAGGTTGGGTAAATACTGGCTCTTTGCTATGGTACCTAGGTTTTCTGAATTTAAGCGCATTACTAGATTGGCAGCAAGATCTCAGCATTTTCTAGTCGAAATGGCTAGATATTAAAAATTTCTTTTCTTGTGGAAATCTCTTCTTGATTTCCAAATTTGATCTTCAAACATTTAAATGCAATGTCAATCGTTATCTTCTGTCCTCTTGCTCCTTAATAATATATTCTTATATTATTTCACACTCAGTAACCTCCTGCATCTTAGTCACTCTGTTGTTTTGCTTGGAGTGAAATGATTTAAAAAATATCTGCATTAGAAGTACCATATTTAATAACATGCAACACATACTGTTAAAATAAAGTGGCTAAAAATCACCCTGTTTCTGATATGCTAGCTGGGAGCTCCTGTAGTCTAATTTTATTACTAATACGTACTACTGTTGGCTAAAGTTTTGTCCTCAGACAGTCACTTCTTCCAAATCCAACTCTATGGCATAATTATTATTATTACAACACTTAAAGAAAGCAATTTATGAAAAAAAAAAGGCAAGACAACGTTTAACAATTTTTTAACAGTATCTCTATCGTTAAGTTACATTAAAAATGCATACAAGTATAAAAATATAAAAAAAAAACTTTATACAAATGTTGCTTGTCTTTAGAAAGACATAATGGTAATCAATGCAACAAAGCAGCCAATATGAATGAAATGCAACTTAAATGCAGGTTGTATGATAGGGATCTATTTCCACCAGTTTATTACTTAGTGAGAGTGAGATATTTCACTCACCACTTCATGCAGTCAGATGTAGCACAAAGCTGAGTTTATTATAGGGTATCTGAGCCTGTAGGCTTGACCAAAAATTACCCATAGACCCTGTAAAAAACAGGGTTGAGTAGCTGTCTCCTGAGATGAGACTCTGCCCTTCAACACAGACTTATCTGGGGATTCTCTCTGCTCAGAGGCAGAGAGTTTAACCAGCACACTTCTGAAGTAATCCAGATAGTTAGTGGGAGTGATTAATCAAAGAGTTTAGTCTAAATCTTATTTTGTTCATTGAGGTATTAGAAATTTGCATATGTAATTATCTTCATACATTTTTAGAATTGAAAGTCAGTGGATTCAGGATATTTTTTCATAATATGTGACTTGTTCTACCCTGTTATTTAACCCATAGCTGGGAGGGGGATGAGATGGATTGAGGTCTTTCCTAAGGATATAAGTCTGAAAATGAACACAGCAGATGAACTTGGCTCACCATTTGTTTTTCTTTTTGCCAAAATCTTGTATTGCATATCTAATATGGTTAAGATTACATCCACCAATAATAAATCCTGGTAGGATTTTCTGTTCTCTTAGGATATTTTCGCTATAGAGGTTGAATATATCTGGCGAGAAGACGCATCCTTGTCTCACACCTCTTTTTATTTTTGTGTCTCTATTCAATTCATTTTCTATCTGTATGCAGATGGTTTGCTTCCAGTATATGTTCTGGATTATTCTAACATCCTTTCCAAGTAGATCAAGGTTTAGAGTAATTACAAATTACATACATCTACTATTTGCCCAAATTCATTTCTCCTGATAATGTTTTATCATTTTAATCAGACTTACTGTTAATTAACGTTCTTGGCTAACATGAAGTGGAAGGACTATATTGAATTCATTGCTAGGTCAGCAGCTAAGAAAGTCTTTTCACTGTGTCATGCAAGATAATTTTTCTCTCCGGAATCCATCATGCATATCTATAAGTCTACCATTCCTCCATGCTTAGAAAATTGCAGCCACATATAGTCCAGTACCCCTGCTATTTATCTTGAGCTCCTTGATAAGATCCAAAGAAGAATCAGCAATATTATTGGTCTTGATCTGGCAGCTCAGCTTCAGTCACTTTCACACCACCATAAAGTTAGTTGCCTCTCTGTTTTCATTTCTGTAAATACTTTCATGCTAATTGTTCAGCTAATTGTTCAGTTTGGTACCTAGACCTTATGAATTTAAACACAGTGGTAGACTGGCATCAAGCTCTCATCAATTTACTGTTGAGCTCACTAGATGTAGCTATAAATTCTATGCTAACTGTTTCTTTACTCGCACTTCTCACTTGTGAAACTCCCTTCTGGCTCCATGCTTTCCAGCCAACTTTAATTTGCAGAAATTTTAAATGCAATGTCAATTGCTATCTATTGTCATCCTGATTACTCTTTTCTTTTTCTGCTCATTGTTAATATTTCTGTTCCTAATTCTTTCACACCCCACAACACCTTGCATCTTAGTGGCTTTACTGCCTTAACATGGGGTGAAAGTGATTAAAAAAAAAAGATCATATCATAATAGTTCACATGAGTTTTGATAAAAATATTAAACTTACCGTTAACTTGAATCTTGATAATTGCACTGTCGATTCCTAAGTCATTCTCTACTTGAAGACGGTAAGGCCCATCATCATCTTTGTTAGCATCCTTAATTGTAAGGATGGCATGTCTGTCTGTCACTTCGATGTGGTAATGAGATCCTCGAAGTTCTTCACCATCACGGATCCACTTGATGGTTGGTTTAGGATTGCCCGTGAAAGGAATTTTGATGACTGCAGATTCACCCTTCTCAAAAGTGGAGATCTCACGGAAACGAGGTGGAACATTAATTTTGGGAGAAGCTGCAAAAAAAAAAAAAAAAGAATTAGAGATTTTCATTACAGATTATATGAATAAATAAAAAAAATTGTTTTCACTTGATAGTCCATTCTAATAACTTCTCATGAGAAATTGTTTAAGATATCAATAGTGAATATGGAGGACACAGCTTATGGAATGATTTAAGGAAACATCTAATTTTTTTACACATATTGCTGCTACATATGGTCCGGTGCTCCTGCTATATATTTAGAGATTATTGATAAAATCCAAAGAAGAATCAGCAATATTATTGGTCTTGGATTGACATTATGGCTTTAGTCACTTTTCAACAGCTGTACCATAGCATCACTTGCCTTTTCTATAAATACTTTCATGGAAATTGTTCCGATCAAATCTTCACTTTGGCACCTATAATTTATGAATTTAAGCATGGCACCAGATTGGCAGCAAGGTCTCATCAATTCATAGTTGAATTGTCTTAATGTAACCACAAGTCCTATGCTTATTTTCTTGCACTTCTTGCTTGAGGAACTCTCTTTCTGTCCCATGTTTCCCAGCCAATGTTTGACCTTCAAAAATTTAAATGCAATATCAACTGTCTTTTTGATTACTCTTTTATTGTTCTTGCTCCTTAATGTTTCTCTTCTTTCTTATTCTTTCACACTCAGTAATTCCTGATGTTTTAATGTCTTTACTGTAGATATCTCCAATAAATCGGTATATGTAAGGTTTAAAATGAATTTTTTAACATGAAAAAGCATTCTTGAGGCTATCATTTTAGCTTTAACTGAAAGCTAAAGGATTTAAAATTTACTATTTCCAGTAAGCAAAATACTCTGTGGTGTATTTCAAACAGAAATTATACTGATCAGAATCATTTTTCTTTTTTCATTAAAATCAATCAAAATAGTCATTTTTGACACCTTTGTAAACAAAAGTTAATTCTGGGTTTTAAAAATCTTGCAAAAATAAAATATATAATTCTGAAATGTTATTTAACGAAAATTAGCAAATTTAAAATTAAATTAATCTGATTTGAAACAAATATTACTTATAGCATAAAATGTTGTCCACAAACATTTCTTAACTACAGGATCTTGTTTATCTGACTTGTTAATTGATTTATTTACATTTGATTGACAGATGAATGTGTTCATAGTTAAGTATGGTGAAGCAGACAATAATGTTTGAGGGTTTTTTGTTTCACCATATGGTGGGGTACAACCCTTAAAACACAAAAACTTTCTAATGCTATATTTTTCAGTTTGTACATCTATACTTCAGGCATCCTGCACATAATCAGACATATAAAAACAAATCAAAATCCTTTTAAAAATATTCAGCAGAATCAGATTGTAATAAGCTTTACAATATATGATTAGTAAATATATTTTTACTTAATAACAATATTTCCTAAGAACTATCTCATTGAAAATGAATTTTAAAAGATTTAAAAACTTTATAAATTATTCAATTTAAACTTGTAAAAAAATGAAAACAAATCTTCTAAAAATTCATTTTTGTCAAAAAAAAATTTTCTTGTCTTCAGGCAATATTGTCTTTAATATATATTATTCATAAAAACAATTAAAAGCTCCTCTAATTAAATTGCAATAATAATAATTTACTGAGCTAAGTCTTACTAATTAATCCATAGCTGGGGAGAAGTGGATTCATACCTTTTCTAAGAGTATTTGCACATAAGTGAATATTACAAACCCAAGCCATTATCCTTTACACCACCCAAACCTTCAAGCTTACAGCTCCTGGTATTCCCATATGGTCACCCATCTAGGTACTGACCAAGCCTAATGTTACTTAATTTATGTAGGATAATAGTAACAAAAATGAGGACATTAGTATGACAGTAAATGTAAATAAGTAATATTCACTGTGTGTTGGTTGATAAAACATCCCTTTTATGTTCAAATAATGCTTTTTATTACTTCAAACGTTATTATAGCAGACACTTTTTATCTCAAATAAAGGACCGATTTTTATTTATTAGTGTGTACTATGTCTGTCTACATGTACATTCCAAAAATCTATGTAAGGAAATTATCCTCCAGCAGGGGTCGGATATTTAGGGGAAACTGTTGTTTAAGCCATCATGCTTTCTCACTCAGCCATGAATGACTCTATAGTAAGCAAGACTCTTTTTACCCTATTTAAGGAAAGTACATCCCTTTCACTCAGATCATTTTTCGCATTAACCCATATCTCCTATGTTTCATATCCAAAATGTAAACAAAGCAATTCGTAAAGAATTAACGGATTTATTTTGAATCCAACATTTTTATTACTTCAAACATTATTTTAGTGAGAACCCCTTATTTGAAATAGATGTCCCATTTGTAATAAAATTTTCTTAACAGGGTGGAAATGGAAAAACAGCAGAAAAATATTTTAAAAAATATAAAAAAAAGAAAATGCCTTACATTTGATTTCTAAATCTGCTCTAGATGATCGGCTTCCACCTCTGTTGCTTGCACGGACTTGATACTCATCGGCATCTTCACCAAAAACATCACGGATAGTGAGAGTATATTTATCCCCTTCCTCAGTTATTTCATATTTGTCGCTATCAAACAATTCACGTACGCCCTTAAACCTGTTCAGAAAAACAAGAAAGTAAATCATTTTCATGATTAAATTGTCTCAAGGCAGATTAAAAAGAAGGCAAATGTACTTAGACTGCAAACTATCACTTGAAATAAAACAAAACAATTTCAGTCGTCCACTGATGACAATTCCAGAACAACGTAACTATAAACAATTTTTTTTCTATCCTCTGCCAGCCGCAATGATGGAGAAAGCATTACCTCAAACCATCGCCAGTGAGACATGCTGCAAGAGCCACTCCGTTTCACAAGGCTCGTCCCTTAATTGAGATGCAATCACGCCAGTCCTCCGAAGGAACGCCATCGAATGAGGGCCAATAGCCCCTGAAGTTTCCACTGCCGCAGGAGTAAAAAAAAATCTATCAGCAAGAGAAGAATATTATCTATTTTTTTCATCTCTACGTCCCGGGCAACGGATCCCGGTTCAACCGCGGAACTGATCAAATTACTGGCCGAAAATGTATCCACACAGGTCGCATCCCAAATCAACGACTTCCCCAATTTAAAAGGGAAAATAGTAATGCCATCCAACCGCTTTTCATCACTGCGGTCGAGTCCTACGGGTTCGATTTGGGAAGAGAACCCAGCTGCATCCAAACCTCTTTTGATGATGTCGTTTATTGCTGCATGCCGTGGAAAGCAACCGGCACTACAACGACAGGAGAGAGGATGCAAACCAAACTCATAGATGGAGGCTCCACATCTGCATCTATGATGCTCACATAATTTGAGTCCAAGATGGATCTAGACTCCGACTTGAGTGCACTTATCATCTAGAAGAAATGCATAAAATACTTACTGTTTCTTACTGAAAATTCTCCACTTATCCTTTTCTGTGACCATGTGATTATTTTATTAAGTAGCATATTCTAAGTTGGGATTAATTAGCATTGACAAAATATGAAATTATCATTTGCAGTTACATCTCCCATGTGATCATTTTATAATTATTTATAAGCATATAATATATATCTTCTTCTATGAACTGTGTCTCTCCACAAGCTTCTATCCATCCTGGTCCTTAGCAACTTTTCTCCCTTTGCTAAACCTCCTGCATCCTCAATCCACCATCTATTCACATAAGTTTATCAGGTAGGTGACCTACTGCCTTCCTCTAGCTCTCGATATGCCCTGTGAGGGTCAAGTTTGCCAAGCCCTCCTTTCTCATTATGGGTTCAAGAAATTTCAACTGTCTCTGATTCTGAGTATATGTGTCTTTTTTGTTACCATTTTCTTTAAGAGTTCCTCATTGTATACGTGCTTCATACATGGAATTCTCAGTATCCTTCTATTCATTTTTTTGTGAGATTGTCCAACATTCACTGCCTTACAAGAGGCTTGATATTGCACAGCAATTCACAACTTTTTTCATTATTTCTAGTGAAACTTTCATGTTTTTTCATACTTTGCTTGGCTTTTCGAAGACATTTTTTACTAATCCCATGTGCACTCAGATTTTGGTGTCACTTTTTGTATGCTCTAAGATGCACAAAACAAACTCAACATCTATAAAATGCTTTGGAATGAACACACTAAAAATAACCTTCAGGAATTTTAACTGAACCATTTATTTAATCTGTAGGAAGGGGGCAGGTTGTACTCTTTCTATTTGCATTGCTTATAGTGAAGGGTGATATTATCTCATAACAACATCCTCTCACACCATATGTCTATTATGGGTTTTTAAAAAAATAAAAAATAAATTTGTATATAACTCAGTATATATACAGAAAGATAAAGTGATAAGTTAGAGGTTAAAGAGTTCAAATATAAATGTACTGGAGTATATAACAGAGACAGAGAGAGAAAGAGAGAGAGTGGAAGATTGTATATATATATATATATATATATATATATATTATCCCTTACTCGTGAGGGATAATATATAAATATATACATAATACCTCTGTTGTATTACATCAAGCACTGCTTTATGAACACTAGCACCATATGTGCGATATATTATAATTATATATATATATATATATATATATATATATATATATATATATATATATATATATATGTATATATATGTATATATATATATATATATACTCTACAGCACCCAATCCAAAGAAAGACTCATCTTGAAGTGCATATGATATAGTTAATGTTTGCACATATGTTATTGGTGTTATAATAATACAAAAATAAAATAAAATAAAAATTTAAATTGAATAAATAAATCACATTCTTTTTGTGCTGCTTTTTTTTCCCTCTAGTCATTTCACATGACCATTTTAGATGTCCAGCTTCCTAAAGAATACCAGGGTGCAGACAAAGGAATTCCAACAAACAGACAGACACCACATCAGTTCTTGATGATGACTATGAAAGTCAAAAAGTACTTGAACAAAATATGAACTTTGGACAGTTTATTCATTTCAAGCACAATACTCAACAAATTGTCAGTTCTTTTTCATCAAGCTTGCTGCCTAAATATACCTTATTCACATATACTTTGTATGTGTATGTATCTATATATTGAAATGTAGTAGCCACCTGCTTAAAAATGTGGTAAAATAAAAGATGTATGCTTTAATTTCAACATCAGTCTAAGTTCGCCATTGGGTCACATAAGTGTCATATTTGAGTTCTGAGTATTTTACGATGACTACAGTAGGGAAGAATTGATAAAATTACTAATTTATTCTGATTTAGATTCATTTTCCATCTCATTATAGTCATATCTGGAAATCTGTTTCAAAAGTGCCACTTTGCTTCTTACTGGTTCACCATGAGTAACCTTATATCCTGGATTGCAACAGTTCTTGTTTTTGATTCACTTGATAAAATAAGATATTTGTATCCTGGTCGGGATGGCTTCTGATTGGTTGGTCAAGATATAACTTTATGGTTTAGAAATTCTGAATATACATCTATAGAGATGGTTTAACTTTGGTCTCATTGTTATTATTGATTTTCATTTATGTATTTTTCTATATGCCTATATTATTCTTAATGAGTAATAACCTCTACTACTCAGTACAGGGATTAAACTTATAACTACTATGACACTAAATTCCCTTTAATCAATTAGGCTAGATGAGATATCCCTAGACATAGCAGAATGAGAACAATGTACCCTCTATAGATTAAATAAAGCATTTAGTTCAAAATTCCTTCCCTGAAGCTTAACTGGATGGAGAGACAACTGAAGAAGGCCAGAGAACACAATGGCTGAAACATTGTTATAGCAACAACAAATATGTGGACAATAGTTTGAAAATGTTAATATTGGAAATTGCTCAGCTTGAATCGCAAACATAAATGGAGATTACTTACCAGCTAATTTCTGGTTTTGGTGTGCCAGTGACGGTGCATTCAAACTTAACGCTTTTACCCTCAACGCCCACGGTCTTTTTAAGTGGTGCACCAAATTCTGGAACTGTGGCAGCTGAAAAGGCAGAAGAAAAAAAATGATTATTCAGATCCCCCTAATAATATATATATATATATATATATATATATATCCTTGCTTGAACCAGCTTCTAATGCTCTGGTAGAAGATGTGACTCAATGGGGCAGAGTCCGTTTCTATTAGTAGACTTGGATGAGTCACTCAATGGAATTTTAAAGAGCAGGTGCTATATGAAGTTTAGCTTGTTACTTGTTTGTCATCATAACCCATTGGTCTAGTGGGTATAACACTTGCATCATATCGTAATGGTCTGGGTTCGATTCTTGGTAGTGGATGCACACTGATGATGAGTCCCAAAACAGGATGAAACAGCCGTCCAGTGCTTTCTGCATTCTGTTGAGGATTCTTCTAGACTCAATGTATTACTTAAATATGATTATTCAAATCCCCTTAATAATTTTTATATATATACATACATACATACATACATACATATATATATATATATATATATATATATATAATTATTTTTTATAAAAAATTATAACATAAGTATGTTATAAGATCACTACAAAAATAGCCATTTTGTTTCAACACATTCTGTGTCTAGGCATCATATTTTTAATCAGTTGTAGAAAATTGATTAAGAATAATTCCAAAATTTTTTAAAATATTTCTTATTCTCTCATTTTCATTCAATCTCATCTGAGACCATTTCCAAGGGTTGCAAATCTATGGATATGTTATGCGTTAACACCATAAATTCAAAATATTTTTGCCTCTATGAAAGGGAGGTAACTCATGTGATTTTTTAAATTATTTAAAATCTTTAAAAAAAAAAATCAAAAAATTTTTTGAAAAGATTCTTTTAAAAGAGGTTCAGACTAAAATTAATACAATTTACCTTTAGGGTCTTTAACTTTGACTGCTTTGGAGGCTGTAGAAGGTTGGCTCATGCCTGCTTCATTCTCAGCAAATATCCTGAATTCGTACTGTCTGTCCTCTATTAAGTTGGGAATATTGAACATGGTTGGCAGGCAAGGTTGCAAATTAACTCTGCTCCAGTTCTCCGAACCATGCTCTCTCTTTTCAATCCAGTAGCCCAGAATCTTTCCACCTCCATCACTGGCTGGCCGATCCCAGCTGAGACTGACAAAATCACCTCCCACTTCAGTTACCTCGGGAATACCAGGTGAAGCAGGAGCATCTGAAAAACAACACGAGAAAGATGTTAATTTGTTAATAATTCATTTACTCAGTCCATCAAATATGACAGCATTTTAAATATATATTCCAGTAACTATTCTTTTACTCTGCTCTTTCACCTTCTCAGTATTTTCATTCTCTTATTTCATAAACATATTCGAACAGTCTGCCTCTGTCATAACATATGTAACCTGTACAAGGGATATAACATTACATGGCAAAATGTTACATTTATTACAGACAAAAGAACTACATGTCATAGAGAGTAAGATTATATCTTGGGGTGGGGTCAAGAAAATGTTTAAATAATTTAAACCTGGGAATAACAATTTTTCCAATTAATAAAAGAATTACCTACTTTCTTGTGAAAAATAGATTCATATTTTATTTTATCAATAATTTACAAAATCATTTTTAACAGATTCAAACTGTGAGGATCTTAAAATGTTTCCTTAAAGCTCTCATATGCCAAAGTCATAGGCTAGTTTTATGTAAAACTAGCCTATGACTTTATCATTGAGTGGCTCTTGGGCCAAATATAATTTGATAATTTTCATTATTACCATTTGATTATTCCCATTATTATTATTATTTCAATTATTATCATTCCTATCATTATAATTAGTTGATCATTTCCATTATTATAATTAGTTGATCATTCCTATCATTATAATCAATTGATCATTCCTATCATTATAAGTAGTTGATCATTCCTATCATTATAATCAGTTCATCATTTCCATTATGATAATCAGTTCATCATTTTCATTATGGTTATCATTTACTTCCTCTAAACTTTTTCTTTCATATCATACACTACATTCATCATTACCATTTTAACAGTAAACTGCTAACTTGAGTGGCTCTTGGGCCTTGTATTGTGTGAAATTTAGTATATAAAAATGTAATTTGTACCACAAGACCCAGACTTATTTTATTTGTGCCCTGGTATTAAAAAAAGATAAATGAAATGACCAAATTGGACATAAATAAAAAGAAATATTTTTCAAACTTTGATTTTTACAATCTAAACATTCAAATTCAGGATTCCCTTTGCATAAGTATATATACATACCAAATGGCATCTTGGCAATGATTGGACTAGTGGTTGTAAGGAATTCACTAGCACCAAATTCATTAACAGCAGAGACACGGAAGTTGTAGACATTATTCTCATAGAGTCCTTGCACATCAAAGTTGGTATCCTGGAAAAGAAAGAGTTTTTCTTTGATCATTCCCATTACTAATATCATTGGATCATTCCCATCATCATTATTATCATTATTATTATTATCATCCTTTGATCATTCCCATTATAATCATTTCTATAAATATAATTTGATAATTTTCATTGATTATTCCCATTATTATTATTATTATTTCAATTATTATCATTCCTATCATTATAATCAGTTGATCATTTCCATTATTATAATCAGTTGATCATTTCTATTATGATAATCAGTTGATCATTCCCATTATGGTAATCAGTTGATCATTCCCATTATGGTAATCAGTTGATCATTCCCATTATGGTAATCAGTTGATCATTTTAATTATGATAATCAGTTGATCATTCCCATTATTATAATCAGTTGATCATTTTCATTATGATAATCAGTTGAACATTACTATCATTATAATTAGTTGATCATTCCCATTATTATAATCAGTTGATCATTTTCATTATTACCATTTGATCATTCCTATCATTATTATTATTATTATCATCATTTCAATTATTATCATTTGATCATTCCCATTATTATAATTTCATAATTCCAATTTTTTATCATTATAGCAATTCCATTATTAGTTTCATTTGATCATTCCAATTATTATCAATATATCATTCCTGTTGTTATCATTGAATCACGCTCATTATTATCATTAGATCATTTCAATTCTTATTCTCATTTGATTATTAAAATTATTATTCTCATTAGATCATTCATGTTATTCACATTCTATTCACTTCCTCTAAACTTTTTCTTTCATATCATACACTACATTCACCATTACCATTTTAATAGTAAACTGCTAACTTGAGTGGCTCTTGGGCCTTGTATTGTGTGAAATTTAGTATATAAAAAAAAAGTAATTGGTACCAGTTGTAAAGTCTGCCAGGAGATCCTATTTGGGGCAGTTTCTGATACAACCGCTTATTTAAAAAGTGATGAGTATGTAGAAATGACATTAATGTACTCAAAATTTTTAAGATTAAAATCTCAAAAAAGCATATTACTCATTTTTTTTAATTAGTTTTTCCTTTCATCTTAGTTTTGTTACTTTTTATCATTGCCCTCAGGTAGTTTTTACATTCTACAACCATTAACTGGAAAAGTTGAGGGTAAATAAAGAAATAACCTCATTGGAAAAAAATCCAGAAGTTACCAAATGACATTTTTTTTTCACTCACCTTACAGCATGTGGAAACAGTCAACCAATATGGTTTAGTAGTTTCTTGACGCTCAATAATGTAATGTGTAATTTTAGCTCCACCATCTTCTTTGGGTGCTTTCCAGGATAAGCTGCAGGTGCTTTTGGTAATGTCTGATACATTGAGAGGTCCTTGGGGTGGACTGGGAGCACCTGAAGGAAAGTGAAACAAAACATAGATTCTTCATTAGTACTGATTGCATTGGGCATGACATCAAAGGACACCAATCATTTTCCCCACAAAATAGCTAAAGAAATATCTCCAAACTTGATATACAATATCTGGTATATTTGGCACTTATAGATTCTATAGACTAACAATACTTGAACATAACACAACTCAATAACTTATTAATAAAGGCCAATCTGTCTGAATTTTTTTGGGATGAGGAATTATTATTTACAATATTTATATTTGGATAATTGCCCTCTTCTGTTGTTGCTATTCAAACTTTTCAACCATTATACCATCCAGCCTTCATCAGGGGTATATTGATCTGGGTAACTTACAGGGAATTCTGAATGGAACACTGTATTTAATCTATGGGGTTAGACTGTTCTCATTCCATTGCCCATGTCAAGGGATATCATCTAGTTCTTATTTTTATTTAGATAAAAAGCAGTGGAAATAATCGACAGGGAACAACCGGAAGCTCCAGAATTCATAAAAATGGTGACGGAGCCATATTCAGCCTCTTTTTCCACTTTTCCCTTTCAGGGTCTGCTGCCTTCAAAGCAAGCTTGAAGAACTACTCACAACCCTTCTTACAGAAAATATAAAGCCATCCCGGAAGCATGATGCAGAGATTTCTCATTTCACATAGGAACAAGTCCCCCTTGGAGACACCTACCCAAAGGAAAAACAACTCACAACAGGCATGGTGAAGTAATGGATAGTGGCTCGGATTGAGGAATCAGAGTTGAGTTCAAATCCAGTCAAATCCATTACATTCATTTGCATGCTAACACCCTTGGGAAGGGTATGAATCCTCTTCTTCTCCCCCCAGCTATGGAAATTAGATGAAGTAGGACCCAGGGGCAAGCCCACCTCTACACTATTAATGATCCTAAAATGGTAATTGTGTGGTTCAAGACAGTAGGAGTTTACGTAGAATATTTCATTTATATATTAAGCTGATTATATAAAGAGAGGAGGCACATGAAGTAACAGATATTGGCTCAGATTTAGAAATCAAATTCCAGTCAGATCCATTACATTCACTTACATGCTAATACACTTGGGAAAGATATGAATCCACATTCTTCTCCCCCCAGCTATGGGTAAATAGTAGAACAGACCAGGTTCTATAGCCTTGGATGGCAACTGGCCTACTGCAGAAAGAAATGGCAACCTACTGCAGGAAAAAAATCTGCCTTATCCGTCATGTATCAAAAGATACATAATTGCCTAAGCATGTATGATGCATGGCACATAACTGACTGACACACAACCATTGCTGCAGAAGATACATACCAGTCCTAGCAATTTGATACTTAGATTTTTTTGTTACTTGTGGGAATAAAAGGAGAAATCTCTCTCTATGAAGCAGCTACTCAAATGATGAACTCCTATAAATGAAAAAATCAACTTTTTCCACCACAAAATATCACTATTTTGCACTCTCTTTTGATGATGAATAAAAGCTGTTTTAAACATCTTCAGTGATGGCCGTAAGCACATCAGCTGTAGATCGGGCAAAGCGGAAACCATATTGCTTGTCCCGCTCTCACCCCTTCACTGTTGAAACTCCTAAATGTAGCCGTCTCTTCTACTCCAATAGCTTCATGTCTCGCACCTTTCGCCTGTGGAACTCTCTTCCCTATTCCAGTTTCCCTGAGAGCTATAATCTCCAGCTATTCAAGTGTAATGTCAATTGACATCTCCAGTTGCCTTGATCTATCCACTACCCTCCTCCTCATCCTTTCTTCTATTACTCCTATCTGATCTTGTTCCAAATTTTCTGTAACCCCTTGCATCCTAGTGGCTGGGGTGAAAAGCTTAAAAAAAAATAAATAAATAAATAAATAAAAATTAGTTATTTTGAGCTTCTATATACTACTGCATGCACACACACAGCTGGGAAAATGTCTAACATGTTCAGATCATATGGCTTTGTTCTTGAATGCACTCTATGACTTTAGCCAGGCAACTGACTTAAGCCATTTGCCTTACACCTAATGCATCATCCAGCACCAAATAAATATGAATACTCAGCATTTATTTAAAAACTATACTTACTGACAATTTTAAGGTTGAAAGCTGAGGAGACATTTCCACTCTCATTTCCAAGTTCCAGTGTATATTTGGCACTATCATCTTTGTTAGCATCTAAAATGAAAGAGCAAAAACAATTAAAGAATTGGAACATTTTTCAAGATGAAATACATTTTATATTTAAAACAGCAAAAAAGAACTAAGCTGGTAAATTATTTAGAAGTTTTCAAAGCTTATGTTTTAACAAAAAATGAATGTTAAATTTTTTTTATATATTTTGAAAATTAAAGGCAGCAATGATTTTAGACAAATTATACAGATCAGCTCAATAGCTTTGTCAGAGGGTAACATTCTATCTGGTTTAGGAATTGTCTTATAGGGTTGTAGACCTTATTTATCAATCAATTCTCATAATTTTGAAGAGAAATAAATTCCCTTCATTTTAATGACAGGTTTATTATTCTATCTGGTCTAAAACTTGTTTTATAGGATTGTAGACTTTATTTATCAATCAACCTTCATAATTTAGAAAAGAAATAATTTTCCTTCATTTTGATGCCAAGTTCATATTTTATCTGGTCTAAAACTTGTTTTATAAGATTGTAGACCTTACTTATAAATCAACCTGCATAATTTTGAAGAGAAATAATTTCTTTCATTTTGATACCAGTTTCATTATTCTATCTGGTCAAAAACTTGTTGCATAGGATTGAAGACCTTGTCAATCAAAACTTATAATTTTGCAGAGAAATAAGATTTCATCTTTATACCAATTTCATTATTCTATCTGAGAGAAATGTCATTTTATAAAGATGGAGACCTTATTTAGTTTGTATTTAAAAACATAAAATTAACTGCTCACCATTAAAATTGTGTTTATAGCAAGAATTCAATTGCAAGCTTACCTTTCAAAAGAATGATGACATAATCATCAAAGACTGATATTCTTACACGGTCACTCTCTGGCAATTCTTTGCCATCCTTTTTAAGCTTAAAGTTGAATGGACCTGATCCACTGAATGGAACCTTCAGTTTAAATTGTTCCCCAACCTGACAAATTTGATCATTAATGGTTTTGTCAAATTTGGGAGGAGCTGTAAAAAACAAATTTAAAAAAAGGAATCATTAATTATGTTCTTTAGCAAATTTATTAAAAAGTAAACATTAAATAACCATAGGTTCAGTACAAAGGAATGTCATATATAATATATTTTCTATATTTTAAAACATAAATTTTATAAAAGTTTATGAGCAGAAAATCACAAAATGATAGTTATCTTGAATGGCCACTCTTCTAGATCATTTTACCTTAATGCCAGTGTCTCCCAGAGCTTTATGCTTAGACCTACATTGTTTGTAATTTTCAGAAACAATCTTCGGAGTGCCATCAGTTCTCAACTCAGCACCTATGCTGATGGCACAACTACTTAGTCCTGTCTTCATGGTAAGTCTGATCAGTTGGATAAGGGCAAATTGGCAGCTGATCTCAAAAATAACCTACAATCGGTTGCTACCTGATTTGTTAATTATAATGCCTCCAAAACAAAACTGCTCTTTTTTAATCAACATAGAGATCCTTTCTTTGATTTGCATCAACATGGCTGGCGCTAACCTCCAAGTGAGTGTCCCCTTGTGCTTTCTCGGGCTAACTCAACATAATTTGTATGATGTTCAACAACTTTCTTAGTTGGTACAGTCATCTCATCTCATCAGTCCCCCATTGAATATGAATGAAGCATGATGGAGCAGTACCTGACATATTCAGTTGTCCCACCTACAGCTTTTACTGTATTTCATTATTTGTGTGGAACTGGAACCTGAGTATTGTTAATGCATACCTTATTTTGGAATCTGTGTAAGTGTGGATCTGTTATTAAATAGAAAATTAGGTAAACTTGAAACTTTGATCCCACCAAAAAAACCAGTGTCAAAAGGACAGTTTTTCCCTTGACACCACTATTATTTTAACTACCTTCACTCCTCAGGAATTTTCATTGCTTTAAAAAGTGTTGATTTGAAATGTAATAAAACCTAAATATATTGTGAAAGTGAATTAATACATTTTTTCTTGGTCTTGAGAATTTACAACAAAAATATTAAACAATTTCCAATTCTGAGCCATTATCCATTATCCCAACTGCAGATTCAAGCTTACAGTACCTGCTATTCCCAAGCAGTCACCTATTTATTTACTGACCAGGCATAATTTTGCTTAACTTTATGATCATATGATAATTAGCATTTCAACGTGATATGTCCCTAAGCCTTGACTTCCTGAGTTCAATCCTGGTAAATTTCATTATTCAACAAGTAGGTCCCAAATCCTCTTCCAACCATTATTCAGAAGCTGGCTAGTAAGCCACATTTCATCCATTCTCTTCAGAAGGATGAAGCTATTAGCAGTTTGAAATCACTAAGGATTCTCATCTATACTTGTTCTTCTGCACCATTGATTATGTAAACAATTGATTGTGCACCATATGCAATGCAACATGTGGTTACCCAATGAATTACTCTGGCAAATTGCATGAAATTCAAATGCTCGCTGATAATTTTGTCAAGATTAAGAGGTGTTGGATCAGTAATTCCTGGAAAATTGATGGTACACTCATATTTTTAACAAATTAAGATCAGTTATTTTCTTGTTGCAACATGATCAATTGGCCCAGCTGGTATGAAATAAAAAGATTATATTGAATCCATTGCTAGCTCTGCTGCTAAGAAAGTTGTTTCACTGTGTCATGCAATTTTTATCATCAGAATCTATCTTACCTATTTATAAATCTATCGTTTTTCTTTGGATATTGCTGCTACAATTGGTCCAGTGCTCCTGGTATATATTTAGAGATTCTTGATAAAATTCAAAGAATCTGCAATATTATTGGTCCTGACCTAGCATCTTGGCTTCAGTTACTTTCTCACCACTGTAAGGTTGCTTCTTTGTGCCTTTTCTATAAATACTTTCATGGTAATTGTTCTGATGAATTTTTCTTTATGGTACCTAGACTTTATGAATTTAAGCGCAGTACTAGATTGGCAACAAAGTCACGTCAATTTAGAGTTGAATTGGCTAGATGTAATGCTAAGTTCTATGCTAACAGTTTCTTTTCTTGCACTTTTCCCTTGTTGAATTCTTTTCTGGATCCATGCTTTCCAACCAACTTTGATCTTTAAAAATTTATATGCAATACCAATTGTTATCTAGTCTTCTTGATTACTCTTCTATAGTTCTCACTCATTAATAATATTTCTCTTTTTCTTATTCTTTTACAATCAGTAACCCCTTGTGTCTTAGTGGCTTGACTAGGGTGAAATGATTAAAAAAAAAAGAAAATGTGTTTGTTAAGTATTAGCAATTTTTACCTTTGACCGTGAAGGTACATGAGCAGCTGGATTTTCCCATGTTATTGATGACATCACAGGTAATGTCACCAGCATCTGAAGCTTCAACATCTGAGAGTGTCAGAGTGTAGACATCATTATCTCGTTTCACTGCAGCTCTCTGGTTGGTACCAACTTCCACACCATTTTTGTACCTAAAGTAAAACAAACATTAAAAAATATAATTCTTCATCCAAAAATAAAAAAAAACACCACATTTGTGGGGCTTTTTTGTCCAATTAAATATAATAAATGTGGAGTTACCCCACTTACTTTCCAAAAAAAAATGGTGCTAGGGGTACTCCCTAAGCCTATAAATAAGCAGTGACATTATATCCTCTCTCTCTCTTTTTCCTATTTCATCCAGGGAAGGTAAGATATAGGTCACATGTAGATAAGAATGCTGTTGCTGAGGTGCATTCACTTCCCTTGGTCTACTGTTGACTTTTGAACTTTCTCACACACATGCATATATACACATGTGTCTATCACACACACTTGGTACACTTACTTCTACACAAAGACCTTTAGTAGTTTTTTTCATTGTTTTGTCACATGCAACAATATTCTATTGTCTATGTATAACTTTGTTTTGTTAATATATAGTTATCGTTTCTTTATATATATATATATATACATTTTTGTTACTTTTCATTTTATTACCTGGATTCACTTTCTGAGTCCATTTTTTGTGGGATAAATATACCAGGAGATGTATATTTTCCACCTAAACACTTGACCAGCATACAGCACACTCACAATATGATCAATTCTTTATATATATATTTCTTTCCCAGATCAAAACAGCTTTAAAAATTTATTAATTTTAAATTAAATAAACATTTATATAAAAAGATAATACCACATTAACTCTTTAATGTTCACCAGGATTGGCGTGAACTACCGCAAACCCCTCTCCCCCACCCAGGCATTGCTTTGCAACTTTACATTATCTTATTAACATTTGCTTTTTTTTTAACAGTCCAGTAGTCCTTTCTTTGTTTCTAGTTAAAGTTTTCTAATTGTTAGCTTAGCTTTAGGAAGGCATATATACTCAATCCTATACGATATATTAGGTTGGTGCAAAAATAATGACGTAATAATGTCGTTTTGTGACGTATTTTTAACATAAAAACGACATTATTACGTCATTATTTTTGCACCAACCTAATAGAGAGATATTGTCGGGCTATTACTGCCTTTAGTAGATTTCAAACTCATGCAGTTTATCTTTTTTTAAAGAATGTTTTTTTAAAGAATTTAACTCACTGTGAGTTTTTGAGGCCAATACATCCTCATGAGTGGCCTGGCTGCTGGAGGATATATATATGAGGAATATCACCAACCAAGGTTTAAGCACCTTCTTTCTAAGTTTTTATTGAAAATCACAAAGATACTAACTTCAAGCAAAATGCTCACAACATAAGGAAAACAAAAAAAGCTATCATATAATCTGCTAACATCAGATTAAAATGACACCTTCTTTTTTTAGATACATCTAAATTATGAACTATAATTTTGAAAAGTGAGAATTTCACTGAAATATGTCGAAAAATTTTTGAGTTTTATTTGAAAATCAAGAAGATATGCACTTGAAGCCGAATGGTTAAAATAAATCAAAGAAAAAGTGTCAATGTAGTTCATATTCTTCTGATTTCAGTTTTAATTGATGCTTTATTTTTGACCTTATATCTAAACTGGGCTTTCTTAAACTGAGTGATATCATCCACTGTTAGGCAGTTTCAGCTGCTGGGTGGGTGATGAGCAACTGAACAAAAAATGGTAGGTGATTGGAAATTTTGGTGGGATTTTGAGTATTAAAAAGCTATTTCAATATATGCTGCCCACCAAAAAGGCTAAATATGAATAAATGGGTCACATTCCTCGATAAGATATAAATATCTTCACAAACAAATATTTTGGTATTTTATATAGTTTTGAGAAGAGTCATTAATATTCAAATAGTTTTTCAGACAAATAACATTTTTTTCATATATAAATCAGATAAGACCAAGAACAATAAAAAAAAACCCTTTTATTTGTTTTGTAATACAGTAGTGGCAACAGAAACAGCAGCCACATAAGTCAGTTTTATTTGTTACCTCACTTTGGTATTTTTTACTACATGATAAAGTTAATTTATGGTGATTTTGTAAGCATTGTTTAGATGGGGTACAAGGCCAAAAGTATGGGACACCCAGTGAGGAATGAACTCACTCCTCAGTTATAAATGTTATAGCAAAACAAGCATGCTAACTATTACATCACTTCAAGGTGCCCCATAATGTCAATTTATGAACCAGTAACAAACTTTTAACAAACAATTTTTGTATGTTACAGTGGAAAATTTTTCCATATGAAAGTTGGTGATGATGCAAAAAATGTTCGTAAACTCTGATCTAAGCTATAATAATAAATTAATTTTGGAAAATGAAAATTTTACTTAAATATGTTGGCAAATTTCTAAGTTTTCATCCAAAATCAAGAAAACATGGAATTTAAGCAAAATACTCACAATAAATGGAAAATCAGTAACATTTTAATACATTTCTTCCTGGTGTCAGTTTTAACTGACACCTTTTTTTTCCATATATCTAAACTTTACTTAACTAGAATTTTAAAAAGCAAAAATTTCACTATAATATGTTGGAAAATCTCCAAGTTTTCATGTAAAATCCAGAAAATATGGAATTTAAGCAAAAAAGGTCAGAATGTAATGAAAACCAGAAGGCATCATTTGAAACTGACATGAGGAGGATAAAGGTTAATCTGGTATTTACAAGTGGAAAAGTTGGATTCAAAATTGAATAATTAAATATTTTGAAAACATACCAGCGAAGTTCTGGATCTGGCTTTCCATGCACTTCAACAGTGAAAGTAGCTTTTCCTCCAACTGCTGAAGTACAGTTCATCAGCTTCCGAGTAAATTCTGGAACACAACCAACTGCAAAAAGAAAGTAAAGGTCATTGTAAAAAGACATGTCATGATGATAAGACTATAAAGTGAATAATATTTTCTCATTAATAAATTGAATCGTCATAAGGTGTGGGAACATTTTTATTTATCCCTGATTGGTTCAAAAGTTCAAATTGGCAGCTGATTTCAAAAGTGACTTACAATCTGTTGTTAATTGATGAAAGGAATAGCTTCTTTGACTCCATAAAACTGGGGGAAAGACTGAACATTGTCGTCAATCTATGAAGTGACATCTCTAAGTGGCCATCACATGACCCATGTGACTTCATTTCAAACAAGAGGAGATAATCACCTTTTGTATCCCTACAGCTGAATTCATTTTCTATCCATACACTGAATAAGTTCTGATTATTCTAATATGTTTTCCAAATATGTCAAAGCAACCTAGCAATTCCAACAGTTGTTGTTGTAGGGATACAAAAGAGAATTGTCTTTCTTTCACTGAAATAGTCACAAGGGTCACATGATGACCAGTGAGGGATGTCAGGGAATAGACTGATAATTGGCAGTTGTGATGTAGAGCCCAGAGAAGACAATACTAGTCTACTGCAGTAGGTCTCACAGAAAAAAAAACCCACATGACCTCACCAGGAAATATTACAATTATGGTTCCCTTTTTTACACACTGTTTGTTGTTGCATATATGTTATAATTTCTCTGCAAGGGATATGTGTATATATGTATATATAGTTTTGTGTATATTTCAGTGGTATAAATTTTATATATATATATATATTTTAAGACATTTTTATGTTTATACATTCTTATTATAGATACAAATATTTAAGTAAATGCTCTGTTTATAATAAACAGTATTAAAAATTTACCGGCCTGAATGTCCGAGAAATTTTCACAGAAAATATTTGTCCTCCAACAGGATTCGAACCTGTATCCTAGATGGAACTGTCATTTAGATTGACGTGCCTTTAACCGATTTGGCCACAGAGGGCGTTCAGTTAGCAATGTCGAATTTACCATATTTGAACTTCAATCTTCTATGAATCTCTCACGTACATTCATATCTGCTCATGGCATATCAAATGTAAACAAATGACGTCACACATTATGAAATGGACAAAGTCCGACAATTATTTTAAGACATTTTTATATTTATACATTCTTTTTATAGATACAAATATTTAAGTAAATGCTCTGTTTATAATAAACAGTATCAAACAACATTTACCGGCCTGAATGTCCAAGAAATTTTCCCATAAAATATTCGTCCTCCGAATATATATATATATATATATATATATATATAGTTTTGTGTATGTCTCAGTGGTATAAAGGTCTTTCTGAGAACAAAGCATGTTTGTCATTCCTTTTCCTTTCAGCTATTCATCCATGAATTATGGTGTTATTATATCATGGATATAATAATGCCTATAATGGGGGAAAATGTAAAGGGGAGAATAAATCTTTCTTTTATAGCTCTCTCCTGTTATATTGGTGACCAAGATAGAATATTATTTACTTCTTGTGTCAGACCCACTGTCTTCCCAACTGAACAATGGTGAGAGAAAAAATGTCATTCAGGCCTTCAGTAATGGTACCAACATTCAGACTGTGTCTTCCATATTCAAAGTCCATTCAAGAACCATCAAGAGAACAGTGAATAAGTTCAAAAAAGAGAGAGCAGTAAAGAGGAAAACTGGGTCAGGAGGTCAAAACCGCAAGAGGGATCATCATTTTAACTTAGAGCTAAGTAGATCAATTAGAAAAGATCCAACTCAGTCCATAAGACGTTTGGCACATGAGAGAGGAGTTTCAGCTATGACAGTCCAAAAAGCAGTGAAAAAAACTTGAAAATGAAAATGTATGTAAAACCTGTGGCGCACCTTGTTACTCCAGGACAGAAAGTTAGAAGGTTAGAGAGGGTGAAGATCATCTTGAATAAGTTAGAAAATGATCCTGGAATATATATATATATATATATATATATATATATATATATATATTTTATTTCAATCCTTCATGAGCTTGCAATCTTTAGCTATGATTATTTAATAATGAACATGTCATTTTCATTTATGATTGATTTCATCACAATTCTTCTGTTAAGCTTCGAGAGTAATTATACATTCTTATTGCTCAAAGTAGAGTCCAGTAGTGTTATAAAAACCTTGGAGAATTCCAGTAAGATATCTTTAATCATTTCTAAGATACAAGAGTCCAAAGATTAATCTAACAAATGGACAATTTTGCTGTTACATGATTTGAACAATTTTGCTATTACACACAATATATATTGTTTGCTTAGTATTATTTAGATTTGTACTTTTTCTTCTTTTTCTTATTGTTTATTGACAAATTTGCCAATTCTGCTTGTTGAGAATTTTGTCAATTACACTTAACCATGGCCAATTACTATACAACAAATGTAAGAAGAAAGTTTTGCATAAACCTTTTTTTCCCAAGAATTGGCACTTTGGGGAACAGGCTCCTGCATGTCTGCTTTCCTGAACACATCAATATTGGCTTCTTTGAGTCTTTCCTCTTTATCATCATAATATTAATTTCCTACCACCTTCTTTATCCTTCATATTATACACTTCATTCAGCATTTCAATTTCGATAGCAACTCTCTGCCTTGAGTGCCTCTGAAGACTTATATTTTAAAAATACTCAAAATTGTTTTAAATATGAACCAAATACCTGAATATCTAATACTGATTACTTACCGACCTTTTCCTTCACCTTGATGGGTCCGCTGGAAGGACTTGGATCACCTGGTCCAGCAGCATTGATGGCGCTGACACGGAATTCCTGTTCAGAATTTTCTGGCAAATTTGAGACAGTGTAATTTGTGTCAATGACAGGATAGTCATTAACCTTAATCCATTGGTTAGAATGTGGATCTTTCCTTTCAATAAGGTAACCTGAAACAGCAGTATTAATCGTGTCAATGGCATTTCAATTTCTCATCTCTAAAAGAGAATGTTATTTTATAATAAATACATATAATACCAATGCTTAAATGGTTCAGTAATTTGGGAATAATGTTTGATTTTTTAAAACTTTCAAGGTTATTCTTCACTGAATATAGAATAAAACCTCACCAACCATAAAAGTATCACCTGAAGGTACGTCAGCATATACAGAAGTGCCAACTGCAAGGACCTCACCATCCATAGAAGCACAAAGTGCATGAACCTCACTATCCACAGAATTGTCAACTATGAGGACCTCATAATGTATAGCAGTTTCAACAGTAAGAATTTCACCATCCATAGAATCACCAACTACAGCAGCCACACCATCCATGAAAGCAAAAACTATGGGAACCTCAGCATGTACACAAGTGCTAACTCCAAGAAAATTACCATTTATAGAATTACAAACTGCAAAGGCCTCACCATCCATAGATGTGTCAACTTATATGTTGTATAGGAACCTACCACCCTTCTTGAAGATGAACTCGTCTACAAACAAGGACGTTAATGAGTGGCATGTAAAAAGACAGTGTAGAAGAAGTTCTGAGCTGAGTTAGTTATAGACTACTCAGGCGATATCTGTACCAACTTACCAACCGAATAAACCCCATTTATTTGTTACATGTTATTTGCCGTTTGTCTTTATTAACCCCAAATTAACATCATAACATTATAAAACCTAAACATATTGTGAAAGTGAATTAATACATTTTTTCTTGGTCTTAAGAATTTACAACAAAAATATTAAACAATTTCCAATTCTGAGCCATTATCCATTATCCCAACCACAGATCCAAGCTTACAGAACCTGCTATTCCCAAGCAGTCACCCATTTATTTACTGACCAGGCATAACGTTGCTTAACTTTGTGATCGTATGTAGAGAAGTAGCAACCACAACAACCTCACCATCCATATAAGCACCAACTATGAGGGCCTCACCATCAATAAATGTATCCACTACAAGGACATCGGTATGCATGGAAGTGCCAACTGCAAGGACCTTACCATCCACAGAAGCAGTGCCCGTGTAAGGGTCTCATGCCACCTCAATCTATGATATGAGTGTCCCCCCACTCTACTACATCTCAGTTTTTATAAGGTAGTATTTATATAAAATATAAATTTGATTGTAACCTAATTATGTACAATAATGGATCATATGCAATATAGAGGAACAATTCAACTAGAAAAATTGAAAATGAATACAACGTATCTAAATGCAAATTAGAGACATGTCATAATAGATCATTCCATCTTAAATAAATCAACAATGTTTTGCAGAAATTTTTAATATCAATCTTAGATTTTTCTTATTAAAAAGTTAAATAATTTTAATACATTCAATATTATGGATAAAAAATAGTGAATTTTATATAGTGTTTTGTTTTTAAAACTTAACAAGTACATCACAAGTTTACAGATTTGGACAGAAAAAAAATTCAGAATGATGTCAAAATCTGCAAAAATTTTTCATCCTTTAATAACAGTTGTGCTTCATTTAATTTGTAATGTATATAAATATAAGTAAACAAAACAAATGTTGATAAGATAATGAAGATCACAAAGCACTCCCAGTGTCCCCCATTCAGGCTTGGGCCTCCTCAATCAGCCTTGGGCCTCCTCAATCAGGCTTGGGCCCACTCAATCAGGCTTAGGCCCCCCCAATCAGACTTGGGCCCCTCATCAAGGAGTAGTAAACACCACCCTTGCACAACTACAATTGAAAAGAATCCAACATAAAATTTGTTACTACTACATCTAAAACAATAAAAGAGTCAGTACTAAACCAAACAATTGGCTAAAACTTGAAGGAGGAATTTACTTGATCACCTGTAATAATTGTCACAAAAAATACATGGGAGAAACATCAAGGAATCTAAATAAAAGTTTCTATGATCACAAAAGGGACATTTTACAAAACACTACATCAAAAAGTGTTGGCTGCCCTCTGTAATGAAACTGACCACAATTCTGATATAAAAATGCTGCTCTGATCAAAGAAAACAATTCACTACAGCGAAAACATTATCATTGATAACTCTCTCTTCCAATTTGCAGACCTTAGTTACTATGTTTTTAATACTTGATATAATACAAAAATATCACAATTATAAAATAGGTCAATAATTGTATAAACTATATATCCTGGTACTCATGCATGCAATTACAAGTAATCCATAATATTTTAAATTTTGAAATCATATTTATTTTTGGCATATGAATTTTTTGAAACTTAGATATTTGATTGTCTTTCAATTGTTCTGCCTTATATGCTATCCTCTTCTGACACACCTGTGAGGTATGCTGCACCATTTGAAAACCACTGAATTAGATATTCCGTTGTTATGATAACACTGAACATGCTCTCTCATGAATGCTTCCAGTTATTAAATCAGGGGAATGTTTAACTAGTAAGTGAAGCCAGTCGGGCCACCTAAAACATAGATTATTGTCCTCATGTTTCATTATTAAAGAATAAACTGTAATAACTTTTTTCATCTTTCAAATCTATAAATCAACCATCCACCCTTGCGTGGAATACTACTGTCATATATAACCTGGAGCCCCCACTGTTCAACTTAAGGTCCTCCACAAAATCCAGAGACCGATACGCAATGTGGTTGGCCCTGATCTGGCTTCTTGTTTACAGTTACTCTCTCACAGATGTGTCATCGCCTCCCTCTGTCTTTTCTACAAATACTTTCATGGTAACTGCTCTGACAAGCTACTTTCACTAGTTCCCAAACTGCATGAATTTAAATGTTCCACTAGGTCGGCGTCTCAGTTCCACCCTTTCACTGTTGAAAGGTAGCCGTCTCTTCTACTCCAATAACTTTATGTCTCACACTTCCCATTTGTGGTATTCCCTTCCTCTTACTTGCTACCCTGATAACTATAATCTCCAACTATTGAAATGCAATGCCGATGCCTTGATCTATTCCACATCCTTCTCATCATCCTTTCCTCTTTCACACCTCGTTACTCTTGCTCCCACTCTTTGTAACCCCTTGCATGCTAGTGGCACTCCCTCCTTGCTTGGGGTGAAAAGCTTAAAAAAAAGTGTTTGTTAATTTAAGATCTTTTAATTCCATCAACTTTGTATTATGCATGGTTTAAGATTGTCTATGATTTAGCAAGACTTGAAAAAACTCTGAAAAAAAAAAGAAAAAAAGAAAGAAAAAAAGAAAGAAAAGGAAGCACTGATGAAATATTTTGTTCTTACCAGTAATTTTGCTTCCGCCATCTTGCCTTGGCTTGTCCCATTTAAGTTCAACAAAGCTGCGGCCCACATTTGTAGCATAGGGTTGGGAACAAGAAGAAGGTTTAACTGTAGGTAGATAGGTAGATAGATAGATAGACAGACAGACAGGTAAAAAGATAGATAAACAGACAGTCTGATAAACAGTGTGATAGATTGATAAAAAAAGATTGACAGATAAATAGAAAGACAGGCAAAAAGATTGTCAGCATATAACCGCTTACCGTACTTTGGTTTGCACACAACTGAACCTGTGCTATCACTTGGTTCGCTAAGGCCAGCCAAGTTTTTAGCCCTGACCCTAAATTCATATTCACCATCTTTCTCCAATCCATCCACTGCAAAAAAAATAAATAAATAAATGTTTAATATTGTAAAAGCGTTTGTGGAAAAATATTTCAAATAAGATGGTATTCTTTGTAGAATATATTTTAAATAAGATGGTATTCTTAGAATATATTCCAAATAAAATGCTATTCTTTGTAGAATATATTTCAAATAAAATGGTATTCCTTGTAAAATATATTTCAAATAATATGGTATTTGTAAACTATATTTCAAATAAGATGGTATTCTTTATAGAATATATTTCAAATATGATGGTATTCTTTGTAAAATATATTTCAAATAAGATAGTATTCTTTATAGAACATATTCCAGATAAGATGTCATTCTTTGTAGAATATATTTGAAATAAAATAGTATTCTTTGTAAAATATATTTCAAGTAAGATAGTATTCTTTATAGAAAATATTTTAACTAAATTGTATTCTCTGTGGAATATAATTCAAATAAAATTATATTCTTTGGTCCTGTGTACAACACCTGCATTCACAGTGCCATGCTTCAAGCCAGTGAGATAAGGGCCCTATCAATGATGGTCTTCAACTGCCTGCTTTGGAATAATGGCCTGTGATATGCTAGATGTGTGGCATGTCCACTGATGACGGGGTCAGGTCAGACTTGCTTCTCAAGAAGATAGGACTTGACAATCTTGAGTCACTACTGTATAGCCACAGACTGCACTGGGATGGCCATGTTGAACAGACTGTGGGGCCTAACAAACAGGCCCATCAGGGTGATGGTTAAGAGAAGCAGAGGAAAAGGACAGCCCTTGGGAGAATGTTCTTTGGATAGAGAGGGAAAAAAATCAGCCTTAGAACTAGCTGATATGTAAAGGGTGTTCCAATAACTTGGAGTGATTTTAAATGTGAATTAAGTTTAAGCATCTAATGATTTTTTTCTTTTTCTTTTAGATTTGACAGACATTTGGGCAATCTTATTTTTCACACATAATTGTCATGACTTAAATAACATGATCTAATAGAGAAATAAATAAATTTTTACCAATAACACTGATATATTTACTGCTGACTTTGATTTGTCTTAATGAAAGACCCTTATGTATAATCTATCTAAATGAAACACCCTTAGAAAGATGAACTGAGATCCTTTGTTAGGCAGTACCCACTTTGGTTTGTGCAAGATAAATCCTGGTTTTGATGCAAGAAATACACAGCTATAATGATGATGACTGACTTTTGGAAAGCAAAACCAATACATATTTCAGCAAAATTTGTGCTGAAGGAAAATTTATGTCATCAGGTAATGGCTAATCCAAAATATGTGATATATATTTTGTTATGGGACCTTACCCATAATAACATAATGGACTATTCCATACGTAATAAATACTGCACCTCAAGAGGAAGTAGAGAGTTCCATCTGAAGTCTCAAGTTTCAGTCTGAAGTCTGGAGTGAAGTCCGTCAGGAATCTCTCAGTCAATCAGAGCAAGTGAGTCAGTCAGTTGAGTCAGTGGCAGTCTGATACAGAGTCGCATTCAGACAATTACTACTAAACCTGATTGTTCGTACTAATCCTTTCTACCTCTCTGTATATATTCCTGTTTGTAATATATCTGTGTTATTCCATATCCGTGTTCGAGTTCTTCTTTATTGGTTCTACCTTGGACTATCACCGTTGTACAAGGAACCGGACCATAACATATTTCTTTTTGAATAATTTTACTATTCATTTTTTTCTCTCTCTTTTCTTACCTGTGTACATTGTGTCTTTAACTGCAAACTCTGTGGCAGGCTTCCATTTCTTACTTCCAGCTTCCTTGTATTCCACAATATATCCTTGGACTTTCTTGCCACCATCTTCCTTAGGACGAGTCCAAGCAAGACTAACTGATTTGTCATCAACATCCAGAATTTCTGGGACCCCAGGTGATGATGGAGTAGCTAGAAAAAGAGAGAGAAAAGAAAAAAAATATCAGGCAAGTTGCTTCCTATCAGAAAACATTGTAACCATCACATACACACATGGATAATATAAATAAATATTACAATGTTACTCCACTTAGATATGTAATCATGTAGCACATCATATAATAATTGAGCTTGTCCATCCCCTCGTTATTATGCACGACCGTTACGCCCTGCCAATACTTAATAAATAACAGACTACTCTATTTTGATCCTCTGGAAAGACAAAAGACATTATTTGGTTTCAGTGAAAGAAAGACATTATCTGCTCATCTTGAAAGACAACTGAATGGAACATATACAAATCTACTTAGAAAAATCCAGAACATCAGTTGGAGATCCTATTCAATGCTTAACACAATTTATGGATTACTGAGACCAATCTCTCTTAAACTCTAACAAAAACTATTACATTTTGCCAGCTACTTCAACCAAGCAAACAGAGACACCGTCTCATCCTTACTCCTATGGTATTCTTCTGGAAGTGTCTTCTCATGAAAATTGGCTTTCACAGACACCATAGCTCGGGACACAGGGTTGGACATTAGGGATCTGGGGACAATACAGGACCAAACAGTGTGGAAAAGGATTTTCAATAGAGTTCTAACCAACCATAGGGAGGTTGAAGGTTGATGATGAAAGAAAGAAAGAAAGATAGAAGTGTTTAACATCTGTTAATACCTCATAAATAATGGACTAATTTGTTTTGATTGAATGAGAAGACAAAAGACCTCAAAGCAAGTACTTGGTTTCAATAAGAAAATGAAAGAAAGAAAGGAAGATAGAAATGTTTAACGGCTGTTTCAGTAAAATGGGAAAAGTTGCCAATTTCAAATTTTTTCATTTGTATCGGCTTACTTTTTAAAATAATGACCAGCATTCATATTTATAATTGTTATTGTAATATTTTGTTAAAGTTGTTAAGCTCAAATATTTTACAACACAATAGGATATTTTATTGTCATAGAATTCACCACAAGCTTATTCAATCACTAACGGAAGAATTAAGATTCATCAGAAATTTCAAGTAGGAAAACCATGAAATTTTCAGTTATTCTATTTGAAATTTCTGATTACAGCTAGTTAGTATAAAAACAGCAGTGACTTAAAAATAAGCACACTCTTCCTCTCAGAGTGAACATTGCAATGACTAGAAGTAAGTTAGGAACTAGTTTCAACTATTTTCTTTCTTGTTTACTATAATAATTATAATAATTTCTTATATCAGAAATAGCCAAAATATTGTGACTATAACAACCAATATGAAGGCACTAATCTGAATAAATGAGTGCATAATAATAATAATTCTTTATCTCAGAATGGATTTAAATGTTCTTACTAAGATGAGGATATTAGTCTGAATAAATCAATGTATAAGCATATTATTTAATTGTTTTCAGTCCTTAGTTTGCATATTTGTTACACTCTACTAATATCTCATAAATAATGGTCTATCTAATTTTGATTGCAAAGAAAAATGAAAAAGACATATAAAAGACACTGTTTGGTCTGAAAGAAAGAAAGAAGGAAAGAAAGAAAGAAAGTGAAATAAGAAAGAGGGGAAAAGAAAGAAAGAAAGAAAGAAAGAAAGAATGAAAAAGAAAGAAAGAAAGAAAGAAAGAAAGAAAGAAAGAAAGAAAGAAAGAAAGAAAGGAAGGTAAAAAGAAAGAATGGAAGAAAGAAAGAAGGAAAGAAATAAAGTGAAAAAGAAAGAGGGAAAAAGAAAGAAAGAAAGAAAGAAAGAAAGAAAGAAAAGGACAAAGAAAGAAAGAGAAAAAGAAAGAAAGAAAGAAAGAAAAAGAAAGAGAGAAAGAAAGAGAAAAAGAAAGAGAGAAAGAGATAGAAAGAGAGAAAAAGAAAGAAAAAATGAAAATGAAAGAAAGAAAGAAAGAAAGAAAGAAAGAAAGAAAGAGAAAAAGAAAGGAAGGTAAAAAGAAAGAATGGAAGAAAGAAAGAAGGAAAGAAAGAAAGTGAAAAAAGAAAGAGGGAAAAAGAAAGAAAGAAAGAAAGAAAAGGACAAAGAAAGAAAGAGAAAAAGAAAGAAAGAAAGAAAGAAAGAAAAAGAAAATAAAGAGAAAAAGAAAGAGAGAAAGAGATAGAAAGAGAGAAAAATAAAGAAAGAAAAAATGAAAATGAAAGAAAGAAAGAAAGAAAGAAAAAGAAAATAAAGAGAAAAAGAAAGAGAGAAAGAGATAGAAAGAGAGAAAAATAAAGAAGGAAAAAATGAAAATGAAAGAAAGAAAGAAAGAAAGAAAGAAAGAAAGAAAGAAAGAGAAAAAGAAAGGAAGGTAAAAAGAAAGAATGGAAGAAAGAAAGTAGGGAAGAAAGAAAGTAATGCCTTGTCAATGCCACATAAATAATGGACTATTTTATTTACACTATTCACATTGTTCGAACTGTTGTCCTCACCTTTATTGTCATAATCATGATGTTTCAGCCATTGCTCACTCTGGCCTTCTTCAAGTGATATACTTGGGAATTTCAAAACTGAACCCTTTATTTAGTCCATGGAGGTAGATTGTTCTAATTCCATGCACCATGCCTTTATTGGATATATCAGTTTCTGTTAATTCACTTTAGTGACTCAACCTACCAAGTTTTGTTCACCTCTGCTTCAGCCAGGTATTGAACTCACAACTTGTGAATATGGCAGTAAAGATGAGGGCAACAGTCAAAACAATATAATTAGTGTAAATAGTTCTCATCTCAGAAATATAAATGGATCCTGAAGAAGGCTGGAGCATACAACAGCCAAAACATTGGGAATATAAAGATGAGGACAACAGTCCGAACAATTTAAATAGTGTAAATAGTTACAATACCTCATCTCAGAAAAATAGACAGATGTAGACTTGTCGTAATGTCTTCATGAAATTTTAAACTGAGTCTTATCAAACTGATATATTCATTAGTTTGTATATATATATATATATATTTATGTAAAATGAAAGATACTCTATGAAAATAAGTTAACTTTAATTTTTTTCAGTTAAAATAAGCAGAATTTCTTGTACTTACTAAATTGATGAGCTGCAACAATGGGAGACACAGATTCGAGGGGTGTTCCAGCACCATACTCATTTTCAGCAGAAACACGGAATTTGTAACTGTGTCCTTCTACAAGACCCATCACCTCGTATGATGTGCCTCGCACAAACCGGCTGCATGGCTCCCATTTCCCACTTGCAATGTCCATCTTTTCAACGATGTAATTTGTAACAGAACTTCCTCCATTATCCTGAAAACAGAAAAAGAATTTGTTTTCAAATGCTTTCTTATGTCGAACAAACATCTTAAAATGAAAGTCATTAGGAGAGAAATGAAAGCAGATAAAAAACACAAGTCTAAAAATTTTTAAAATTAAAAAAAAAAAATATTCTGTTAAGGATAGTGTTAAAATTAAATGGCTTATTAGGCTAATTGTCCAATGGAGTTAACATTTGATGAGCCATTATAATAAAACTTATCCGAATCTTGATGAATAGAGCCCACAGAAAAATCAGACCAGAAATAAAAACATGAACAGTGCAGAGTCATTAAAGACACTGGAACAAGAAATGCAATATTTATGCTCAGAATGTTATCAGAAAGAGCAATACAAATGCAGAAGGATATATACCTATATTTTATAGATTATGCAAAAGTAATTGATAAAGTATGTTAAAACTACTTGAACTACTAGGTAAGCTTGACATATGCAGGATGAATATTAGAATAATTCAGAATTTATACTTGTATCAAACCACCTGCATACAGATAAAAAAAATGAGTTCAGTAAACACCCAAACATAAAATGGGTGTAAGACAAGGATGCGTCTCCTAACCAGAACTTTTCAATCTATACAGTGAAGCCCTTCTGAGTGAATTAGAAGTCATACCAAGATTCATTTTTGGCGACCATAATTTTTGCAACATAAGATACGCAGATGATACAGTGTTAATAGCAGACAGATAAAAACTGCAAAAAATTCCGAGAAAAGGTAGTGAAAGAAAGCAAGAAGAAAGGATTAAACATCAATTGTAAAAAGACTGAATGCATGATTGTTATCAAAAGGATGATTGGAGATACGAAAATGAAACAGGTGCAACAATTTAGATATCTGGGAAGTGTATTAACAGAAGATAGAAAGTGCGACACAGTAATTCGAAGGGGCATTGGGATAGTGAAAGACGCCTTCCAAAAGCTGAGAAAAGTATTAAGAAACAGAAAAATATCAAATTTATTTTCAAATGCTTTCTTATATCAAACAAACATCTTAAAATGAAAGTCAGTAGGAGAGAAATGAAAGCTGATAAAAAACGCAAGTCTAAAAATTTTTTAAATTAAAAAAACTAATATTTTATTAAGGATAGTGTTAAAATTACATGGCTTATTAGGCTAATTGTCCAATGGAGTTTACATTCAATGAGCCATGTAATAAAACTTATCAACCGAATCTTGATGAATAGAATCCACAGAAGAATCAGACCAGAAATCAGTGCAGATTCATTAAAGACACTGGAACAAGAAATGCAATATTTATGCTCAGAATGTTATCAGAAAGAGCAATACAAATGCAGAAGGATATATACCTATATTTTATAGATTATGCAAAAGTAATTGATAAAGTATGTTAAAACTACTTGAACTACTAGGTAAGCTTGACATATGCAGGATGAATATTAGAATAATTCAGAACTTATACTTGTATCAAACCACCTGCATACAGATAAAAAAAAATGAGTTCAGTAAACACACAAACACAGTAATTTGAAGGTGCATTGGGATAGTGAAAGATGCCTTCCAAAAGCTGAGCAAAGTATTAAGAAACAGAAAAATATCGTTAGAAACCAAGAAAAGAGTATTCAGCTGTTACGTAGTATCAGTCCTCCTATATGGTAGTGAATGCTAGACAATCTTCTTACAGATGAAGAACAGATTTGAAGCAACAGAAATGTGGTTCTACAGAAGGATCCTGAGAATGTCATATGAGCAATGACAAGGTCTAGAGATAATGGCAACAAAAAGAACAATTATGTTTAACATCAAGAAGAGACAGATAAAATTTCTGGGATACATAATGAGGAAAGAGGGCTTGGAAAATCTGATACTTACAGAGCAGATTGACAGTAAGAGAGACAAAAGAAAGCAAAGTGCAACCAACCTGACAAGCTTGAGTGAATGAATGGCGGAGTAGGTTTTGAGAGAAATAACAGACAGGAATAGTTATTACGAGCTATAAGGGATAGAAAATTGTGAAAAGCCATGATGACTAATGCCCTGATGGATCATGATGCATAGAAGAAGTCTAAAGGATGTCTTATTTAATATCTTTGTTCTAGTAAGAAGACAAATATTACTTAGAGCATCAAAGAATAGGAAGTTGTGGAGAGACATGATTGCTGATGTCCTAAAGAGACACGGCGTATATAAGAATGGTAAATTTAGCCATTTCCATAGAGGGAATGTTATTAGTCATGACCTAGCATCTCAGTTTTAGTCTTTTTCCCTCTATTATAAAGTAGCTTCCCTGTAACATTTCTATAAATGTTTTCATGGTAATTGTTCTAATGCATTTTTCTCTTTGGTATTTCAGCTTCATGAATTTAAGTGTAGTACTAGATTGGCAGATAGGTCTCATCATTTTACAGTTTTTTTTGTTTGTTTGTTTTTTTAAGCATTTCATCCCAAGCAAGGCGGGAAGCCACTAGGATGCAAGGGGTTACAGAAAATTTAGAGCAAGATCAGATAGGAGTGATAGAAGAAAGGATGAGGGTAGTGAATAGATCAAGGCAACTGGAGATGTCGATTGACATTACACTTGAATAGCTGGAGATTATAGCTCACAGGGAAACTGGAATAGGGAAGTGAGTTCCACAGGCGAGAGGTGCGAGACATGAAGCTATTGGAGTAGAAGAGACAGCTACATTTAGGAGTTTCGACAGTGAAGGGGTGAGAGCAGGATGCCAGCCTCGTAGGGCGCTTGAACTCATGATGTCTGGGAACCAGTGAATGCAGCTCCTCGGAGCAATTTCCATGAAAGTATTTGTAGAACAGACAGAGGGAGGCGACGTCGCGTCTGTGAGAAAGTGACTGTAGACGAGACGCCAGGACAGGGCCAATATCCACCTCTGGAGCCTATCAAGTTGAAATAGCTACATGTAACCATAAGTTCAGAAGAAAAAATAAAAGTAATATGGTCCAAATTTTAGACCCAAGTCATCATGAGAGTGGAAGCCACATGAGAAACCTGCATAAAAAAGCATGTAGAGTGCAATTTTTAACCTAAAGTTGTAAAACTACTGAGAGTTGTGACATAAGCAAGCCATGATGTGTTTTTCATTTAATATATACTACAGTTCAAGGGTTTGAGGTGACCCATGGTAATTTTTTAAATTGGACCCAAAAGTAGTTGTTTTGTACTTTAAATAAGATAAAATTATTATACATGATTAGAAAAAAGTGAGACTTGATTTTTTATTAGAAATTTTATTATGACGAAAAGAAAAAAGCATTTTAGGTTTAAATTTTGCTCTCGTCAAAATATCTTTCTTCAGCCTTGATTACTGCAACACAAATTTTTGGCATTCATTGTAAAAGTTGCTCAAAGTTTGATAATTGATTCCATTCTTTTTCATTTTTGGCATGGAAAGTTTTCATTCTTCAGTCAAGTTCATCACCTGCTAATTAAGAATGTGGCTTCAAACTTTTAAACTGTAGTGTACATTTAAGCATGCCGTCTCTTAAGTCTTAATATTAATTGTATAATAAAATTAGACAAATAGAATCAGATGAAAAACTCATGATGACAGACCTTTGGTGGTTTCCATTCCAAACAGCAGGAATCTGGAGTGATTTCGGATATTGCTAATGGACCTTCAGGAGAACCTGGTTTATCTGATAGAAAATAAAATGTAATAAAGGAATCAAAATAATAACACAATTTTATAATGATAACATTAATATTGTAATGGATTATTTTTCTTAATTATTAAACCCAGCAAATGTGACAATCTCTTGAGTGTAACTGACAGCCATAATGCTGTGTTGATTATTATGCATACATAAGCTTTATTTTCAATACAGTACACTCCTCTCCCATAAATATCAAACATTTTAATTTTGGCTGATTTTATTTAGTGGCATATCAACCTGAATGGGTTATTTAATGCCGAAATCTAAATATTTTCAATGTAATTGTTTACCTTAAACTACAGATAAAATATAATGTTGGTAATAACAGGTGATGTTGGTCATTTTCTATATAAAAATGTATTGCGAGTATTTTTAAAATGTATATTCTTAATTTCAGAGTGTTTAGTTTTTGATTGGGGGTTCACTATTTGGCCATAGCTGGAACCCTAACAGGTACTACCACCCTGGGTCAGGGTAGACCTGGGAACAATACCAATTAAGACACACATTTGAAAGAAATATATATATATATATATATATATATATATATATATATACACACACACACACATATACACATATATACACACACACATACACACATATACATATATATATATATATATATATATATATATATATATACACATGATGGCTGTAAACTCATGTTCAAGCATTGCCATTGCTTGAACACTTGGTCAGGCACATTTGTGCTTGTTCAACACCCACAGAGCCAACCTGTGGTTCATACTGCAACTATGCTGAGCAGACCTTAGTTACAGTTTCTGGGAGAGAATGTGTTATCTAGCATGATCAACAATCTGAACAAGGCCAGCACACTCTAACCCTCAGTCATGATGACTCATGACTTTGTGCTAGCACAGCTATCAATGGCCGCCTCACTCACAAGGTTTGGGTCAACCCGTGACATGGTTTTCATGCATTTTCAAAAGGCGCTGCATGCTGGGATTGTCCCCCTCCAGACCAATAACATCAAGAAGTCTCCTTCCTGACAAATCAAACATGGTGAGATTCAAATCCATGTCTCATGGTCAGAAAGCAAATGTCCTAACCCCTCAGCCATAACTACATATGCATAACACACATATATATATATATATATATATATATATATATATATATATATATATATATATATATATATATATATATACTTATACATATATATACACACATATGTACATACATACATACACCCATATATGCATGTGAGTGTGTGTGTACACACACACACACACATATATATATATATATATATATATATATATATATATATATATATATATATATATATATATATATATGGGAGTGAATATATAGAAAATAGGAAAGAACTTATTAGGTAAATAATCCAAAGTTCTTTAGTATTTTTGTTATTATTTTAAAAAAACAGTGCTCGATACAAAAAGTAGAGCATAAATATAATTATTTATTTAAAAATATGATTCCAACGCTACATAAGAGTTCTCTTATGTAGCGATGGAATCATATTTTTGAATAAATAATTATATATATATATATTTATATATATATATATATATATATATATATATATATATATATGTGTGTGTGTGTGTGTGTGTGTGTGTGTGTGTGTGTGTATAGGTAACTCCAAAGCTGAAAAAAATAATCTGACAAATGTTTGTCTTCTTTAATATTTAAAGGACTCATTCACTTGAGTACATTTTTAAATTCCGACAGAATGATAGGAAAAGGGACAAAAAGGAAACGTTGATAAATTTAACAAGTTTCATTTTTATTTAAGCTCCAGCAGAAATGAAATGAGTTTATGAAAAGCATGTAACCACCTCTTAATTGTTGTTGTTCCCAGGCACTCCCTGACTCGAGGTGGTAGCACCTGTTAGGGGTCCCAGCTATGGGCAAATAGTGAACACCAAACAAAAACAATACTCTATGAAAGTATAAAAATGTATTTTTATAGTAAAATAACAGCAATACATTTTTATATCAAAAGGACCATCAACACATAGTAAAATGACCAACAATACATTTTAAATCAAATTGACCAGCAACATATTTTATCTGTAGTTGAAACTAAACAATTGTGTTCAAAATATATTTAAGCCATAAAATTGAGTTCTGATTATTTCAGCATTAAATAACCCATAGAGGTGTTGATATGCCGCTAAACAAAACCAATCAAACAACCAATATGAAAGAACTTTCATAACATTAATCTCTATAATATCCGACAATTTCTTAAATCAAACAACTTTAACAAAACTACAACATAAAATACATATATCACTACCTCTAGTAAATTATGTCCACACAAACATGTATATGCACAAAAGTTGAGTATCATCTACCATGTATTCAATTGTGAAAGCAGAATAATATATATCATATCTTTATTACTTCCAAACTCACAATTTCAGCATTAAATGACCCATAAGGAGTTGATATACCATTAAACAAAGAAATCAATCATTTTGTGAAACAATGAAACATCTGAACTTACCAACAATGGTGACATGGACATTGACAGTGTCAAATCCTTTTTCATTTGAAAGTGTGATTGTATATTTGCCTTCATCATCTTTTTCTGCCTTCCTGTTCAGCATCACAATCTGATCAAGGGATGAGTTCAGTTTGATGCGATTATTGTCAGCAAGAGTTACTTTTCCCTGTAATGAAAAGAACACAAGATTAAGATGTTAAAGTGATCACATGCTCATCACTATTTACTTAGCTTAGTCTGGTTCAAGGCAAAATAGAATGATGGAAGTGGGCTAGGAAGATTGTGCTGTAACCTAACTTAAGTGGCGGGGGGGGGGGGAGCCAGTGTGCCATGACAATTAACCTTTGCTATCCAACTATACTCACAAACAGAATGGGGAAATACATAGATCCCATGATCATCTCGATATTACAGTAGTTGTTCCTAAACCAATGGTTACAACCTACATATATTGTGATCACATGGAAGGACGAGGTCATGGTTTGGTTTTTTAAAAAAAAAACAAGAAAATAGGAATCTTCTTTATATGTGTCATGTCACTTCATGATGTGGGCTCTCCACAATATCCCGTCCTTTGTAGCTCTTAGTAAATTTTGTCTTTTTTGTTATCTCTCCTAATGCCTCTAAAATTTTGTTGTTGCTCACATGTTCAGTCAATGGTATTTTCAGCATCCTTCTGTAGAACCAGATTTCTGATGTTTCAAGTCTTGTCTTCATCTATGATGACATTGTCCAACATTCACTACTATATAGGAGGACTGATTTTACATTCAGTAACCTTTTCTTTGTTTTTAATTAAATTTTCCTGTTTCTTAATATTTTGCTTAGTTTCTGGAAGACATCTTTTGTATCCCAATGCACCTTCAGATTTTGTTATCTTCAGTTCATAATCTGCATGTTGGGCTACCTGGGAAATGTATTTTTCTATATAAATACAACAAAGTTATATTATCTATCTATATTCAATCCTCAGTGGGTACTCCATACTTGTTATCTTGTGCCACATCTAAGCTAAGCTTAATAAATCATTATATCAGGTGCATTGTGGGTATTTTGATGTGCACTAATGGTTACCAAGTTAGTATCGCTCAACTAATTATGACTGAGTAGTGAATCTGATCTACAGTAGGTATTCCATACTTTTTGACTTGTGCCACATCTGAGCTACACTACTAAATAGTTGATGGTGTAATAAATAGTGGCTCAGTATGAGAAATCAGAGAGTTCGGTTCAAATTCCAGTCAAGTTACAGTTGCGATATCAGTTGTCAGCTGATATCTTGTTAAGGACACATCTGCAGAATGTTACAGAAATCATTTTGACAATTATCGTCTTGACAAAGGTCACCTGAGTGGAGCAAGCATCACAAGAACCAGGTCAGATGACCTTGACAAAGCAGGTAAGCTGAATGGAGCACACTAAGAAACATGGGTTTTTGATGAATAACTTTTTTAGATGAATGCTGACTGGATAAAGGTTAGTTCTTTATAAGACAGTAGTCCCTAGCTGCCTAAGCCAGATTTCTATCTTCCAGCCACATGAACAGAAGGCACATACCAGCTAGACTATTCAACCCCTTCATAATGTCCTACTTTTCTTCATTCACCTACAGCTGGCCATTATGAAAACGTTGCAACAGAATAAAATTTGCCAACTGCTACCATTGTCTCATGTTTTTCCTTGGGAAACGATCCAGACAAAAGAATTATTTTCTTTGTCTTAAGCCACAAGCATCTGACTTGAAGAAGCTGCATATTGATGTCTGGTCTGAGTTGCAATGCCACATTACATTCACTTACAGGTAAATACCTTTGGGAAAAGTATGAAGCCATCTATTCTCTCCCATCTATGGCAAGTAGCAGGACAGATTGGGTCCTCCAGCCTTATTCACATGATTGGAATTTCAAACTAAACCCTTTATTTAATCCACCAGAGTTGATTGTTCTATTTCCATGTGCCATGCCTCTTCCTTGGTTGGTTCTAATGGCTTGATCCAAAGAATTGTGAGTTTAATACCTTATTTCTGCAGTGGTGAACAATTCTTAGAGATTTGAGTTAAAGGGAGATAACTGAGATATCCGGAAGATTTAGGCAATGCTTGAGGATGGTAGCATCAATGTTCAGTATTTCTGTGAAAATGCAGACTTCATCCTGCCATTTGATGTTGTGGATCTGCCAAAGCTTGGCTTGATAAAAATGTTCAAGCTTTTTCAGGTTCTTTCAATACGGGGTCAATGTCTCACAAGTATAGAGCAAAGTGGAGATGACAACAGTGCAGAACATCATGAGTTTTGTTCAGAGGGAGAATCCATGGTTGTTGAATACAGGCTTACTGAGTCTTTTGAAGGTCCAATAAGTGGATTTGATGCCATTAGTTGATGTCTTTTTCGCATGTGAGAGAGTTTTGGTGATGTATTGAAAGATCTTGACAACAAAGGCAGATCTAAAATCTAAAAGGTACAGTTACTTGTATCCGAGGAGGCCCATCTACTAGGGTGGCTAGCTAATCCCAGTTGCAGGTGCTTGCTCAGGTACATTTGTGTTTGTTCAACACCCACAGAGCCCACCAATTTTTTATACTGCAACTATGCTGAACAGACCTTAATTACAGTTTCTGGGTAAAAACACATTATCTACAATGTCTATATTTCTGAGATGAGACATTATGTACACTATTTACATTATTCGGACTATTGTCCTCATCTTTGTCGCCATATTTATCCGATCCTTCAGTATCTGTCTATATTTCTGAGATGAGGTATTATGTACACTGTTTACATTATTCAGACTATTGTCCTCATCTTTGTCGCTATATTTATTACAACGTTTCGGCCGTTGTACACTCCAGCCTTCTTCCGGTGGTTGGAATGTCGAACTGAACCCTTTATTTCACTCACTGTGGTAAACTGTTCTAGTTCCACATGCCATGTTTGATGGAGGTCAGTTATCAGTTATCTCTTGTTAATTTCCCTCTGAAAGTTCTCTACTGCCTTAACCAGGTATTGAACTCACACTCTTTGGGTCCTGTCACTGGATCTAACCAATGCCTTTATCCACTGTGCCATGTGTCCTTGAGGATAACTGATAACTGACATCCATCAAACATGGCATGTGGAACTAGAACAGTCTACCCCAGTGAGCGAAATAAAGGGTTCAGTTTGACAATCCAATCACCTGAAGAAGGACGGAGCTTACAACAGCCGAAACGTTGTAATAAGTATGGCGACAAAAATGAGGACAATTATCTAGCATGTTCAACAGTCTGAACAAAGTATACTCAAACCCTCGGTCACGATGACTTGTGACTTTGTGCTAGAACAACTATCATTCTGTCTACCTAATTTAATTCACAAGGTTTGGGTCATCCCATGGTATGGATTTCAGGCACTTTCCAAAGGTGCCTCACACTCGGATCACCTCTTCCAGAATGATAACATCAAGAATTTACCTTCCTGACAAATTGATCATGGTGAGATTTGAACCTGGGTCTCAAGGTCAGAAAGCAAATGTTCTAACCACTCAGCCAAAGGAATGAAAGTAGATGGCATCTTAAACTTACCAATTTAAAGGTATAGTCAGGAACAGGATTTCCAGTGAAAGGTATAACAATCTTGAATTCTTCACCAAGCACTGCTGTGACGTCACGCACCAAATAATCCATGTTGATTCTGGGAGCCACTGAAAGTAAAAAAAAAAAAAAAGTGTAAAAATAAAATGTTTATAGAAAGTTAAACTGCTATAAATTAACTAGTTTGAAATTTCACAAATTCACTATTCTTAAAAGGATACAGCTTTGTAAGTCATTAGAAAAATTTATAAAACACAAGATATCTTTTCTGTCTGAATTTTTTTGGATGAGGTATTATCTTTATTTACATGCAGACTTATATCCTCATCTTTTTTATCACAACATTTCAGCTCTGCCTCTATCAAATGTAACCTCAAGAGAATTTTGACCTGAACCCTTTATTTAATCTATGGGTATAGACTGTTCTTATTCCACTACCCATTACTAGAGATATCTTATTTTGTACAGCTTAGTTATTGCTTGCTTCATTTCTACTGAGAAAGGCAAACACTGTCCTGCCCAGGGATTGAAAATTAACAAACCAATGCTTTAATCTAGGCTATTATTTGTGAGATTGACATACACCTGATGAAGACCAGAGGGCACAATGGCCGAAATGTTGTGATCTCAACAACAAAGATGAGGACAATAGTACATATGCAAATGACAGAAAATATTTTTATATAAAAACAAAAGACTTCACCACCACCAAACAGAACTCAGATTTGTTCCTGTCTTTGAAGGCATTGTCAATCAGTATAATATAATGAAGTCTCCAGAAAACAATTAGAAAAAAAATTATTTAATGTTGTGGAGTAGCTGAACACCCCCACAAGATGGACTGGTCTAAGACTATTTAAACAGCTCTCTCTCTTACTGAGGGAGACGAGTTAATGATTAAATGTTTATTCCATTAATCTGTGTTCTTAACTGAACCTATATTTTAAAAAAATGAAATAGTGTCTACTTTTTTTTTTCTTAATCTCAGTAGCAGAAGAGTTAGCAGACAACCATTTTTAGCTGTCATTTCTATTAGAAAGGTTCCTGAGAAAAAATATTTTAAATCAATCTTTCATTTCTGGATATTGTTTTCTCTTCTATCAGAATCAATGAAACTAAATATCTTCTCTTGTGTTAGTTTTTCATTGAAATCCTCAATTCTCTTTATTCATTTTAACCAACTGAGAGACATTTGTATGATTAAATTTAAAAAAAAGAATTGCACTATAACTGTTGTGGAGTAGCTGAACACCCCCACAAGATGAACTGGTCTAAGGCTATTTAAAGCACACTCTCTCTCTCTCTCTTACTGAGGGAGAGGAGTTAACAATTAACTGTTTATTACATTAATCTGTGTTCTCAACTGTATACCATATTATACTCCAGAATAAACTACTAGTTATTTTCTATATGTGTGTCAACATTTCCTATTTACAACACAATATTTACTAAATTAGGACATTATAAATTCTAATATTTTGAACATGGTAAATGATTGGCAGCTTGATCTCATCATTTTATTTTTGAAGTTTTGAAGTGTAGCCATATGTTTAAGGCTAATAGTTACTTTTTTTTACACATCTTGCATCTGGAACTCACTTCCAACTTGCTTTCCTCTCATCTACAATCTTAAAAATTTAAATATAATATCAATCATCATTTTTATAATGTAGTGGTCAAGCATTCTCAACTGCCCAAGTATTTATTCTCTCCTCCTCATCGGTCTTCCACTGGTGACCACCTCTAGTGTAGAGAGTCCCACAGAGGAAGTGGGACAACACTTCCCCTGTGGGACTCTCTACACTACAGTCTTTTGTCTCCTTGAGTGCCATTTTTTTTTATTGTCCTCCTTTTTTGCATTCTCAGTAACCACTTGCATCTTAGAATATATTGCCTTTCTTGGGGTGAAATGATTAAAAAAATGAGAAAAGTAAAAATTCAAATTGCTGATAAGTAAAAGAGAACAGTAAATAAGTAAATACTAATCAAAGTATATTTAGTATAAATAAAAAAAATATGAAGAAGATTAAATGCATACCTGGAGGTGAGCGAGCTTGTACTGCCTCAGAGGTTTCACTGTATGCTCCTGGACCAGCTGCATTAACAGCACAAATGCGGAATTCATACTCTTTACCTTCAGTCAAACCACGGACAGTAAATTCCTCTTCTGGAATTTCACTATGGTTAGCTCTGTTAACAAGAAAAAAGAGGTACATTATGAAATATTTGACTCATCAGAATTTCCATAATGAAAATTATTCAAATTATAATATAATTTATGAATCCTCTTAATAAAAGTTTTGTGCATAACCAGAAAATTGTCCTGCATCTTAGGAAAAATTATGTGCTCTTGCCTCTTAAATGGTGGATGGGGTCACTTATTAAAATTCTGAGACTTAAGAAAGCCTTTATTTTAAACCCTTTATTTTATTAGAGAATATCCTTATAAGTTATTGTTAAGATGATGTAAGCCAAGCTTAGGGAAGAAATGGGCATTGCCAAGAGATCTGAAAGAGATTAGGAGGCAGAAGAATCAAAATCTGTTTTTTCTGTTCTTGTGTACCCCTGTTGATTGAAGCAGTCGAAGATTGACTGATGATGATGAAGCCAAGCTGGTATTTTTTATGCACTCCCTATGTAAAATATGTACCCCCACTAATTTGTACCCCAGTTACACCCCCCTGCTGACCCACTATTTATCCCTATTTCTCCCCTATTTACCCCTATACAGCTCTTTTGTGCCCCTATGCACACAGTTCCTACCCATTCTTTGATTTCTAATATATTGTTTGGCTTACAACCACATCACATTAAAACACTAATGCCTGTAGAATCACCAAAGTTAAGCAACAATCACCAAAGATAAGCAACATCAAGCCTAGTCAGTATCTAGATGGGTGACTCCTTGGGAATACCAGGTGCTGTAAGCATGAATGTATGGGTTGTGTAATGGATAATGGCACGAAGTTGTTAATCAGAAAGCGAGTTCCAATTCCAGTTGGGTTCATTATATTCACTTACACACAAATATCCTGTATGAATCCACATCTCCCCTCAGCTATGGGTTAATTAGTAATACTGGTATCACTAAAACCATTATTATCTCAAAAGTAATTCTTATAATCTAAAAACTATTTTCAGCTTTTAGATAACTGTCAAAAAATGAATGAATCAATCAATTATTAAAATTATGAGAATTAAGAAACCCTCCCTTAGCACTTTATTTAAATCCTTTATTTTATAAGAATATATCTTTATAGTGCAGCATTTCTCAATCTTTTTACCCTTGTGTAACCCTTAAAATAAATTACATGTCTCAAGGAACCCCTGCGCAAAAACAGAATTATATATCATATTTTTCTCATTTTATTTTCATCGTAGTTCACGTGGTAAACATCATAGTGTATATTTTTGAATAAGTGGTTTAAGGAAAAATTAATACTTCTTTGTCAAATTTGTCGGTAATGCTAAATAAAATTCATACAGTTCATTTATAATACTTCATCAGGGAGTTTTCATTCATGCAAAAAAAAATATTCTAAACTCAAACGTAAAAAATAAACATAAGTAACCAATATCATATTCCTATAATATAAATGTAAACAGAACGAAAATAGAGAATTGCTGCCTCAGTTTTTTTTTTATTTTTCTATCCTTTACTGGCAATGTTGAAAAGACATAAGGTAAATCAAGGTAAAATGTCCTGTGAACTAATAAATGGGCTAAGAAAATGTTACTTTCAAAGCCATTTGATAAAGTGGAACATGCTTTTCTAATGTGAAGCTTGTCTTTTGCTACATAAATACAAATAAAAATTTGAGGTTGAAATTTTCAATTGAGAGGAGACAATTTCTGTCTTTGCTCTTGATATGTGTTAAATAAAATCAAGGCAGTTTCACACTGGTGCCATACAGACATCGCTAAATATATTCCTAATGATTGTTATATTTTTTAATAACATAATAGGTTAGATAGGATGACGTTTATATTACGGTATTACAATAACTAAGAATATATTGTGTGCGTCTAGTAATATTTTGTATCTGAAATTAAATAAAAAGTCAAAAGTGCATAAGCTTATCTCAGTGGTTCTCGTGGAACCCTTGGGAACCTATTGCGGAACCTTAGGGTTACGGGGAACCCCAGCTGAGAAACACTGTTATAGTGAGTATTATGGTTTTCAGTTTCAAAAGAGAAGCAAAATTCTGTTAAGAGGATATAAGCCTAGCTGGTATCTTGTTATTAGCAACTTTTTATGAACACTATGGGCCCCACCACTTTGTACCCCATTTACACTCTTATGCTCTCCTATTCACAACTATGTACCCCCATGTCCCCATCTAATGCTTATGCACCCCTTATACAGCTCTTTAACACTGCCAATGCATCCACTTCCCACCCTTTCTTTGATTTCTCATATCTTGTTTATATCATTGTATCTGCTTATCTGCTTCTAGTTATATAGCAGAAAAAGAAAAGTGCAAAAAAAACAAAAATGACTAATATTTTGTTGATAGTAAAGTTAGTTGTTTCCTTATAAGGAAACATTCGGCATTCACTGACTGAACAGTTAGCATTCCTTTTTGGTTAAAATCTACAAAATCTTTTGCTTGAAAAATTTTTACAAGCAAATAATCTTCTCAAATCCACTAACTTCTATCACTCTTTCTAGTACTGATGGGAGTTTCCTTCCTAACCTTTTGTTTAAGGTAGTGTGGAAAGGCAGAATCTTCATTATATCATCATTTTTTTCCTTCTACTTACAAGTGCTATCCATTTTTGTTTCTGTTGAAAGTGTTCAAGTGATGTGGTTTTTCTTATTTTGGTATAGTTCTTGGTTTGTGCTCCTGTAGCGCCAGTCTATAACATTTGATGAAAAATTGTCTTCTTCAAGAACTAAATAATTCATTTGCCTGAAGTTATTTTTTATCCTTGATCTCAGCCGGCATCTGCATAATTTGGACAAGGTGGACACTATGCATGCCATCTATAGAAGCATCTATATCTACCAACATTATTTAATCACCTACTCCATTTTCAGATCAATAAATGTATCTTCAGAGAAAAAAATATCCCTTCTCTTTTATCTGAACTAGCTTATCTATTCAAACTTTGGAAATAGAAGAACCCTTTCAACTTCCTTGAGACCCAGCTCGTTTATTTGAAAGTCAGGAGTAACAGATAAGTTGTAAAATTGTGGGTTGGTTCAGCTGTGGATTTGTTCCTGTGGGTATATGCATTGTGTATGTGTGTGAATGCGTGTGTTGGCATACACATCTAAGTGCACTGAAACTATAAAAAAAGATGCTAATACATGTCTTTTCACTTAAAACATATTCAAAGGAGGTAACATGCATCACTTAAACTGGTGTACATGAATATATCAGCAAATAGAGAATGTGCAGTTGGTGTAATGGATAACAGCTGGAATGAGAAGTCAAAAAGTCAGGTTCAAATCCCAGTCAGTTTAATTATATTCACTTATGTGCAAATACCCTTGGGAAGGGTATGAATCCATATTCACCCCCCAATTATAGATTAAATAATAGGACTTTTATCTGGAAAAAGCAGTGTTCTTCTTAAAAATTGTTAATGCAATATTCATTTGAAAAAAAAAAAAAGATTTATTCTTACAATCCAAAAATCTGTTTCAGCTTTGAATAAAACACAAAGGATCAATAAGCCATAAAAAACAAATCAATAATCAATATCACAAAATAATATTTGTCCTTTCCTTTGTAATTGACACACAGGAAACAGAAATTTTTAATCTAGTACTAATTTTACAGGAAATTTACACTAAAACAAAAAAGCAGAAAATTAAAATCAAATTCATGACAAATACATATATTGTTGTTAACCTTTTGCATTCTGCATTATTAATATTACTTCCCTTTCCATTGCATTATTTTTCAATGCAGTAACCAGTAGTCTTATTGTTAATTTCACTCAAAGGTGTTTTCTGTTGCCATAGCAGGGTATGACAACACAACTATGAAATTCAAACGAATTCAAATTCAAGGATCAGAGCCATCTTCAGTAGCAGGATAAACTTTCAGCATAGCAAATGAAACCACACACAGACTGATAAATGTTAATAATTTGAATTTATCAGCATGGATGAATTCAGTTTCAATAAAAATCATTTTAAAACTGTCTTTTTCATAGACTGTTACAACATGAAAATATACATCATGAATTTAAAAAATTAATTTTCAAGTCTACTTCTAGAAATCACTAAATTTAAACTAAATATTGACAACACTCCTACACTATGCATCTTACAATCATATTATGTTGAAATACCAGTCCCAGTCTGATCACCAAAGTTAAGCAACATCAAGCCTGGTCAGTGCCTAGATTGGTGACCACTTTGGAATGTAAGTTTGGATGAGTAGGTGGTATAATGGATAATGGCTCAGAATTGTTAATTGGAGAGCCAAGTTCCAATTCCCATTGGGTTCATTATATTCACTTACGTGCAAATATCATTTGGAAAGCTATGAATCCACCTCTTCCTCCATGGGTTAATTAGTAAGACTAATCACTAAACCATTATTACCTCAAAAAAATAAATAAACTAAAAATAAAAATTCTTACAATCTAAAAACATTTTCTGGCTTCAAATAACCTGAAAAAGGGTTGATAAGCCATAAAAACAAATCAACCAACATATACTATATACATAATAAAACAGTTATTTACTCTTTTCACAAAGACGACTAGCTTTTTTCTGAAAGGCACACACATTCTAATTTGCCAGTGTATTTTATGCCATGCATATCATGCGGAATATGACAAAGACTACATTGAAAATGAAATCATAATAGTAAAATGGTGAAATTAGTCAGTTCGATACTAAAAAAATTCAGCATTCATTTTCACTGAAAAGTTAACACTACTGTTGGCTGAAATTCACTAAATCTTTTTCTTAAAACAGTTTTCCTGGAAATCAAACTTTTTAAGTCCACTAACTTTTATTGCTCTTTCTAGTACTGATGGGAGTTTCCATCCCAACCTTTTGTTTAATATAGTGTGGAAAGTCAATTGATTATATCATTATTTTTCTTTCTAGTTACATAGCAGAAAAAACAAAAAAAAATAAGTCTGAAAATAAAAACATTGCAGAACTAATATTTCGCTTAATGTAATGGCAAAGTCAAGATTTACAAGTAATGCAATGGATAATG